TGAAATGAACGGAGACTTAAAATTAAATGAGTAAAAGATTCTGTACAGAACTGATACCTTTGTTGTCATTTGGTGATTCGTATACATAAATAATCAAAATAATAGAACTATGTAAACAAATGTGTTTGTCTTATTGATTATGATATGACTGAGCTGCTGAATGATGATATTCTATTATTTTCTTATTCTATAAAGTCTGTTTAATCCGGCATACCTGACAAGTAACATCTATAAAGTCACTGGGGTAATATTTAACATGAGGACATGGATCGGGGTTGTTTGGCAGATTTCAGACTTCATGAGCTTCTGTTCTTCCCCATCAAAAATGCCCCCTAAAACATGTTCCGAAGTGATGTATAATATGCACATATTCGAATCGGTTTTTGGTCTGTCTTCTCAACTGATACACAATAACGGGACATTTGCCAAAAATGTATAAATAATCGATATTCCATCCCAGTGAAAATTAAAAGCAGCTTTTTAAAACTATATGATGACCCGATATCTAAAAAAGAAAACACTTAGATATGAATAAAACTTGTTTTTTGGCAAAAGCAACACAAAAAAAAACTGATTGACAGGTTGGTTGTTGAACCTATTGTGGGAAGGGAATCAATAACCAGTCTTCACTTAACGAATACAACTTTTGTCTCTTCATGGGACAATTGATAAATAAATAATCAAAGGAAAGAATGAGCAACGGGTGGCTCTGCAGACACTGTCATGATCCAATCTGGCTGAGAGGAAGAAGGGGCTAAACTTGGAACTTTTTTTTTCAGGGAGTGATCAGGAGAGGAGAGTAAAAGGGATTGGATGTTGGCACGCAGGGAGAGGCAGTCTGCGGTAGACTTGTAAATAGCCGGAGGGATGGAGGAATGGAGCTATCAGCAGAGAAGTGATGAAGGTCTGGGACCGAGCCAAGATAAACACACCCGCTCAGAAGGAGCACACACACACATTTATGAACCTCACAGCACATGCGTGTGCACATGCACAAGCACCCAAACACACAGGGCTGAAAGCACTTTATATCCATCACACACCTACATATACACAAACAAACTGGCGCATGCGCACACACACACCTGCAGAAAAAGAAACCGTGTTCCGTATGGCTCACCGACCACAGCTTCTTGAGTGTTAATCTGTGTGACAACAGGCCGGGCTGTCATTTTGACATCCCTTTTCATCGCACACTACATTAGTCCATTTGCTCAGATACCACAGAATAAACACGAAGAGAAAAGAAATGGTTGGGAGTTTTATTTTTAAACATGTGGAATAAACAGTGAAGTTAGCTGAGCCCTCAGAAAATCCCTTTTTTTATTTTTTTTTTCATTTTGGCAGTCATTTCAAATTGGCTCTCTCCTTTGGAGAGAAAACGGTGCGCAGTTATCACAAATTCTGGAAGTCAAAAATGTCCGCTGGGTGCATCTGCTTGACTCATAAATGGTGAGAAAGGTACTCTGGAGCTAATGTGCGTGCTTGTCTGTTTTTCGGCGCATCTGTTTGAGGGCGTTTGCGTCCCTTCAGAGTGTCTGTGCGTGGGACTGAGCTCCATGTGCCATGAAGCGAGGGGCGCCTCCTGCTCCGTCTTGTTTTCAGCCGGCCAACACCTTGGCAGAAACCTTAACATTTGCCAAATGTTATCTTAAGCGATGCATTCAGAGGCAAAAACTGCAGCATGAAAGAGCGGCTGTGAAGCGTGCCGGGCTGGAATGCAAAACACAAGCCGTGGTCATCACTCTGTCAACATGCTGATTTAGGCTGTGAGGACCGGTGATCTCTGTGGGTATCCACGTCTTTTTCCCCCCCATCAGCAGGGCACTCCATCCCATTTGGTGAATGTGTTGTTAGGAGCGTATCAGGGGTCCTGACGGTGCTCCACAAACAAAAGTTAAAGTTGGGTCCATTTAAAGCAGCTGTGACGTGTGTCGTTGGAGCTGTTTCTCAGGTGATCGTCTGCTGGGGCAGTGTGTGCTGCCCCCCCTGGTGACCTCTGGCCACCCTGAGAAGCTTGATAGGGTGGGCTGTCGGAGTTACAGTTGCAGAGATTCACGCACCTCTCTGGGCCTTTTTTAGGACTGCATCAAGAGGAAAAAGCGGATGTTTTCCGCGTATTTGAAGGAGAGAGCAGACGATCATGCCAATGGCTTTAAACTATTTATGCTTAACAGAAATAACAGCATAAATAGATAAATTCTCAAAATGGATGTTATTCTGTATTCCAGCCTTCAGTTACTGAAGTCCAGATTTTAATCTCATCGAGACGTAGCAGATCATCTCACTGTTAACCCACCCCAAAAAATCTCAGATAATCTGCATGATTTGAAGCTGCCTCCAGCTTCTGAAAAAACACAGGAACAAAAGAAAAGGTCAGCATAAGATGTGCACATCTGGATGAATTTGAGTGTGTTTTTAATAAGTGTTATCTTTTGAAGCTCTCAGATTAGTAATATCTGCTTATGGATGCATTCCATACTACGACCTGCATGGCAGTTCAAAGCCGGCTGGTACAGCATGAGGGGGGCGATAGGATACATGAAAGCAACACTCAACAATGTGTACTATCTACAAGATCAGAGCCATGTAGCAACAAGAGAGCAGCAGCACAAACAAATCAAACGCACCTTCGTTCTAGAGTTTGGTCCGCTGAAGTGCACCCACATGTTAGGGGCTCTTAATGGCAGCGAAGCAGCAAGGATCATTTTACTCTTGTTTTTCAGACACAGCAGTGACGGCTTTCAGCTGAATTATATGACTAGAAAAGCATCTTTTCTTTTCTTGTAACTGATCTTCATCAGTGATCTTGAGCATTTGATTAATCATCTTAAAATTCATAACAAAATTGCTTTGGAGAAAAATGCTTATAGCCTTTGCATGTGAATAAGATTGACTCATTCTTTCTTTTAAGCCCATCTTCTATTACTAATATTCCTCTTTGTATTATTTGGGGGGTTGGGGGGGGCTCAACCAGCCATGACTGCTGCCGCTCGTCATCACTTGAAGTGTTGGTTTTATTTAGTCAAATCTGATTCTGAACAATGGGCATATTGACAGTGGTGTGTTACAGAAGGCCAGGTTGTTTGAGTGTTTTAGCGCATTGGTCTCCCAGGCGGGCTGTAGCTTTCTGAAAGCTCTGTATTGTATTTCTTTCCTGTGCCAGAGCCAGTTTCCTGTGGCAGTTCTGTGTCAAACGACGATGACCCTCTGCTTCCTGCAAGTCGCATGGAGACGGGCTCGCCACGAGCCCTGGAGTCTCACCCCCCCAGCCTCAAAGAGCCCGGCCCGTCCGCGTGTCCGTCCTCTCTGCGGCTCAACTCTTACTCTTCCCCTCCAACACGACCGTTCATTTTCTGCCATCGCAGTCTTTCCTCTCTTCCTTTACCGCGCTTACATCTTGTCTTTCCTTCTGTTTTCTGACTTGCCGCCCCCTGCCAATCCACACCCCCTTTCTCCTTCATGTTTCCACACCTCCTTTCCTCTCTGCATCCCTTCTTCCCTCCTCTCTTTGTCCCCCTGTCCAGGTCAGAAGAGGGTCCGTCAGACATTTCCTGTGCACGCCGCAGACAAAGACCACACCTTGTGAGGGGATTTCTAAAACTACTGTCAGTGACGCCCTTTACAAGCATGGAGGCATGCTCACTCGTGTCCACATGTTGCCTCAATGCGCGGTTGTTTTTGGAAATTGGTTATGACTTCGCTCGGCTGAACTTGCCATTTGCACGATAAAAGGAAACTTGTGGGAAAAATCTTGAACATGCAGCACAGACATCACGTTCATCAGGAATTATATCAGCACTCCATCTCAGAATAAACAAAAACAGAAGTGTATTTTTACCGATCCCGCACGTAATCGACCTGTCAGCCTACACATGTCAAAAGCTCTAAAATCAAGACCCTGGATTAAAAAACAAAAATACCACGTCTTCTCTTTTTTTGAAGCCATGTGCAGAAACCCTCGGGCCACGGCTCTGGTTCTGCCCATGAGAAAGCTGTCAAGTCTAGCATTACTATTGGTCCCCAAAGAATTTCACTACATGGTAAAGGGTAAAGACTCGGATTGACTGACGTCCTCTCCAACGCAGATTGGAGTGCCGACAGAAACAGTTTTGAGCGATGAATCGTCTTAAACGGGTCTTCCTCATTATGTCGCAGTTCACCTCTGATGTGGGCCGAGTGGATGTGTGTGTGCTGGCATTGTCCTCCCGGCTCCACGGCCCAGTGGGTCCCACTTGGTTCAGATTCTTATTCTATCCAAGGTCATCAAAGCATGTCCACACACACACACACAAGCGCACACAAAACTGGCTGTGAGTCTGTACGCACTACCCCTCTGGTCTTCTTCCAGTGCGGGTCAGAGGGAGGAAGTGGGCTGAGAGAAAAGGAGGAAGCAGAAGCAGCTCTTGCAGGCTGCAGGTAGTGACCCTGAGCCTTGACTTCCCACCTCTCCCTGCATCGCTCTGACAACACGGGCTGACAAAACACAGACGGACCAATACAGCCCCGAACACCTCTGCTTTCTAAAGGCTGTTCAAACTTTGATCCCATCATGAAGTGACAGAATCAGGATAAAATAAAATAAAGACAGGGTTTTCCAAAGTTATAATTTAGACTTTTATTATCTGACAACAACAATAACAGCATGTTGCTTTTGTTAACCTATTAAATTTACACAGGTGATAAGGAAAGGCGAATGTATTGTATGGACCTCCCTCTCACAATCATACATCCTTCTTTCCTTTCCAAAAATTACTGACAAAGTTGGAGGTACAGCTGTTGAAGAGACTGTTTAGGCATGAGCCCTGTCCAAATCCACAGATGAAAAAGCTAAAAGCAGCATCCTCAATGTTGTTTTTACCTTAGAGATATAACACCTTCAAGTATAGTTGATGGATCGATGCTCACAAGTAGTAAAGCTGCTTTTGGACAGAGCCCATGGCTTTGGAGGGTGGCTGATCTTTTTTTGTTGTGTTATTTGACTTTTTCCTGGAGCTGCCTCACCAGTTCCAGAAGAATAACCTGCTGCCGTGTTTGGCAGGCTCAAGTTTGCCCTCGATGGTGGGGTTGGGCTCAGGGCGAGGTCTAGAGTGGTAGGGGTTCTCCGGGATGGGCCGTGGGGTGGACACTTTGGTCACCTGTGGGAGGGAAGGCACACGCTGTGACATCTGTGGAAACCCACACATGGCTGTCCTGCATAGATGCTGCAGGGTAATAACAAGAAAACCATCCAGGAGGAGGAAAAGTGACCAGCACTTCCCCAGACATCCATACAGGGAAAAGTGTGGCGTTGGCACAGTTTAAACTGTTGGTTCTTTCTTTTGATGAATTTATCCTCATGGCATCCGGTCTCTCAGGGAGCTGCTTTCTTCTCCATCGTTCAGAGGAGGACTGACCAGAGTGTTCCACAGCTCAGTAAAATGACATGAAACCCTGCCGATTTGTGGACAGGAAATTGTTCACCAAAAGAGGAGCCATTCTCCCTCATAGTGTCTCACATGGAATGTCCAGCTCAGGATGCATTTTAGAAACAGCAGGACAAAAGGAAGATTTCTATACTCAAGACCTCATTCTTAAAATTTGTTTAGGAAAGTTCATTTTTATTTATAAAGCTTGTTTTAAGTGCATAAGTTAAAGTAATGATCTCAACAGAATTTTAGGCCATTGTGTTCCACTGATGTTCTCCTAATATTTAGATAGCATTTGGTCTGACATAGAGGAACATCTTAATCATTAAGACTACTGGTCCCAGGCATCCTCCAACCCCCACATTTCCTTTACACCTGACTGAACATCTGGGAACACATAAATATGCATAACATGATGGTTTAATTCATTTTATGAAGAACACAACAATATTAAAAGTGGACGTCTTACTGGTACTTGTGAGATATACAGAAGATACTAAAAAACTCCAGTGGGGGAAACAAAGCTCCTTTAAACGCATCGTTTCCCTGTTCCTGACTCTAACGGAATGAGATTGATGTGCAGATGCAATCAGGGCCTCTTGCACAGCCCACAATCAGCAAGAATAGGCCCCATCAACCAAGCTGCTCGCTTTCTAAATGCACAGGCGCTGCCTCACAAATCTCACCTTAGACAGATCTCCCAGTTCAGGTCTCTCCCAGCCCAGTTTATCAAGGACGCAGCTGTCGAAGGCTTGCTGCTGTTTACGGCACTGACGCAGCTCTGCCAGGCTGGAATAGTCCAGGCAGGTCCAGTACTCTGTGAAGGACTCGGCACAGTTCCCCTTGATCTGTCTGAAGGGCAAAGAGCAGACAGAAATCTCAATCAGACTGAAATCTGCTTCTGAAAAGGTGGCTGGCAGTTGTCAGACACAGAGAAGAATCTAACCAGGCCCCTGGTGCAATTAAACTTTTTCTTAAATCTGCTCCCATTAAAATAATTGCTGGTACTTCTGTAATTTTTCCCCCCTTAACTGAGGGGTGAAAAGCAGACTGTGTTTGTTACATGCTCACAAACACTCCTGAGCTAATACACGGGCACCAGGACAAAGCAAAGCCTTTAGCTCCCAGTAAACACAGGCACAGCATTTAAGAGTGATAAATGCCAGAACCCCTCCTCAACATTTTCAGCACACAACAGGCCGCGTGGGAACTTCATGTTCTAAAACTATTTCTAATAAAACTCTGCTATGCAACCTAATTTTATTTATGTGCAAATTATAGAATTGAGGTTGCAGAAAACAGACAGACTTGTGTTCAATAAGCATGAAAACCTAAATATCTTCTATTTATTGTATACACACACTGGGTCAGTGGATGGTTCATCAAAACATTCATTCTTACGAGTTATGCCTTTAGCCATCCAGAATAAACACGGGTGAAGAAATTCACGAAGGACAGCTATTATTAACATCAAGCCTAAATTAATAATCCTCAGCTTTGCTCTATTTTTCCATAAAATATTGTTGCTCCCTTCCATCCCAGATGGTGGATACATCCTTAAGTATCACCAGCTTTTTCTCCTCTACTCCTGCAGCACTAGTTTTAAGTTACAACTCCCTGTGCCAGGCCAAAGAGTGATCGTCATTATTCTAACAGGACTCTACATCCTATTATGAATTGGAAAGTTTAATGACAGCAGAGGACAAGACAAGGCAAAGGAAACCTTCTGAAATCTGCTGTGTGTGCTTAACAACTTCAGACTGTGAAAGGGCGACTCTCCAAAAACAGAACTCGCCACTTTGGACCACATGTTCGACCCGCGTGTCCATCACTGAGTGAGCAACACAAAAGCACCCGACCACAAACCTCCTCTGACCCGGGTTTTACATGAACTCTCACAGTCTGTACTTTGTTGGCTCCAGAGTTAAGCCACATTTTCAATCACTTTCGGACCACAAGCATCCTGTTCAGTTTTTTTTAATGACAATAATACGGCAACCTTCAGCTATGAAAATGCAATTATTCTGCCCAATTAACTGACTGTCACATTTTCTGTCAAAAGTGGAAATCTTTTCTCTAAACCAATGGAAAAGTAGAGATCATATCTTCTTTAAGAAAACTAATTGCATTTGTAATGTTTTCTTGATAAATGATTCGCCTGAAGCTAGCGATGTTGACTTCAAATGAACGCCAATCAACTCCTGTTTATTTATGCATTCCTCCTCTCTGTTAGCTAAATTATTTTTAAAAACAGATTATTATGTCTATAAATAACCATTTTTATTTTTCTGATTTGGAACCAGAATTACAGAACATAGCTTACCTAAAGAAGTTAAGTGCACACTCATTGACCTTCCGCCCTTCTTCTAGACACTTCCTGGGGTCCTTCTCCTCCCATCGGCAGAGCATGAACTCCTTGTTGGGTTTGTCACACTGGGAGCCGAAATGGTGGGCAGCAGCCTTCAGCACAGCGGAGGAGACATTTATCTGTCCAAAAGGAGCAAAATAAATAATTAAAAAACAATCAAATTAGTCAATAGGATATCTGATCACTTGACTGTATGGTGTTTTAGAAACCTACATCTTTGAAGTCACTTTATTCACTAATGAACAGTTAATAATACAAGTTTAACTATAAAATTCAGAGAGAAGATGTGATTTGACTGTAGTCTGTTCCCTCTTAAAGAAATATTTCACTATTTAACATTTTAACCACAGAAGCCAAAACTTGATTATGGGGAACAGCTTAAAACATATATATTTCTATTTTACCTGAATATAAACTTAACAACATTATAAACATTATAAACATTAGAACAATACTGCAAGTTCACCAGAACTTACACTAAGGGAATAATTTTTTGTTTTCTAAACATTGTTTTTTTATTTGATTATTATTATCATTTTACTGTTTAGTAAGCCACAAGTAACATAACAGTGAGCTGGTAAGCATTAAACTGTTGGATTCCCACAACAGACAATTTCAAGGAAACAATTGTTCTTTACTCTAGAGGATGACATGAACATCAGCTAACAGGATATCCATCAACTTTATTAAAGCATGCTGGTGTGTGTTATTTATACACATGGCATATTGGCAACAAGCAAATTAAATAGTACATGGACTCCGTCATACAGTGCTTATTTTAAAGCCTAGATGTATTAAGCACCCTTCACACTAAAAGCTGCCTTTATGCACACATACAGCAGTTTTTAGCCTGTGCAGTGTTAAATGTAGTGCTTTGTTTTCCATCACACACATTCACATGCTGATGAACACATTAGATGTAAAACTGTTAAAAATTAATTATGAGGCCTGAGAAAAATAGGAATCTACCCACCAAACACTTGATTGGCTAAGAGCCCATCCAATTCCTTAAACCTGAATATCTGTGTACAGATTAACTAAAGCCTGCACCTTGTTAGGTTGGCCTGATCAACTGGGCTCAGGTAACATCATTTACTTATTAAATGAAGTTATTGGACATATATTAATTACAAAGGAGCCCAAGTAAGCAAACAGTTTACAAATATGAAGAAAAGCACATTAAAGAATTTGGTTCAAATAATTACAAATGCCTTAATTAAATGAGTTTTTTTTTTTTAATTAATGAGCAGTAATGTCTTGTCTATCTTTGTTACTATAATCATTTCTTGCGATGCACACAGATTAACAAAGTCTAAAAGGGGGAGAAAAACTACTAGTTTTATGTAGTTTAATGACTGACTATCACTTGATTTCCAAGGACATGTTCTTTGACCCAACAAAAAAACAAAATTGACGAGCCTGAGAATTATGCAAAGGTAGTTGATACGTCACTACCATTTCCCGAAAGAGATCGCACAGTATTATGGTGTACATAAAACATCTTCAAAACTTGTGGGACAAAGTCATCGTACTCTGTTAACTTTGGTCACAGGGAATATCCCAAACATTTCACCGAATATACTTTACAATGGGCCGGTGCAAAAATAGTAATATGTAGATGTTTAACTTGATTACTAACTTGCACCTGTAGGGAGTACAAAAAGTAAATCCAGTGGTCAAAGTAAAAACGCTCTGAGCCAAACAGCAACTAGCTGGTTAGCTTGCTAGTTAGCAAGCATGTCCTATCTTAACTGAACAGTACGTGCTGGTACTCACCTCGTCCACCTTCAGCTCCTGCAATGTGGGAATTTCCAGATTCGTGGGCATGGTTATGTGCTTGTGGTATAAACCAAGCGGCGAAAATCAAATAACGCCAGCTAAAAACATTCAAGGTCCTCCTCGTCTGACTCAGAAACAAGCGACGAGGCCGCGGAGAAGGTCAGTTTACTTCCCCCGGTGCTGACAGCAGTCAAGCGCGTTCTGATGACGCAATCGACGAAGCGACAGAGTCGACGTTACATGCGCAGTAGATGAACAGAAAAATAATAACAATTTAGATTTTATTAAGTTTACTGTGTATCATATTGCAAGCTGGTATAATTTTAATTTATTAAACTAATACAATTATGTACAGTGTTATACTTTTACATGTTCAATGCTCCATGTTAATTTTCTTTATCGCGTTGTCATAGCAACGGTATACAGAACCTGGCGTCTTTGGCTTTTAAGTTTGTATTTTGAGGAGACAGTAAGTAAGATAATCACTACTCATTTAGATCAATTTGATAATGGAGTATATTGGAAGTAGCTACAGAGGAGGTACAAAAAATGGAAGGTAAAACCTGCAATGTTATTATTATTTGTATTATTCAATTTGAAACCTACTTTTTTTTTAGCAAGGCTCAAACAACACTGCAAAAAATGAATACATTTTAAATAAGCTGACAGAACAGTGTATCTTCTCTCTCCCCCAGAAAGGATGGAAAAGGTGAATACACATTTCCCACTGACACAAAGTATGTTGGAGAGGTGAAAGATGGTATGTTCCATGGCAAAGGAGTACTCCTTTTTCCAAATGGAAGCAGATATGAGGCCTCCTGGGAAAACGGAAAAGCTAAACAGGTGGGGAGTTGTCTGTATATATGTGTGTCCTTGCATGCATGTCAGACTGTATACATCCACAAGTATGACAGTGTGTGCTTTACATTGGTCATAGTTGATATTACATCTGGTATATTTTAGCAATCACTCAACAATATTGTTGTGGGAATTATGTTTCTTCCAATTTTCCACAAAGCAGCTTTGTAGTATTGTACTCTCAGGTGATTTTTCATTGGCTTTCCAAAAATAATGATAATTCCGGTTATTTTCATCTTTGCATCTCCTTTGTGATTTATTTCAAATATAGATACAGCTCTAAACCATGACAAATCTTGGCTACGTCTAGTCTGCACCTGCACCTGGACGCCTGTTTAAGAAAACCTTCCACCATATGAGACAGACCATGAAACTCAGAAAGTTTAACTCTGGAAGTGATACTTGCCAGCTTTTTGTTCATTTGACAATTATTCTTAGTTCATGGAATCAAAAGTCTGCTCTTCATTTATTATAATCGTTCATCATGTGCAGCCTAATCATTTCTGAAACCTATATACTGCATTAAAGCTTTGTTAAAGCAAGCTAAACCGTAAAGCCAGAAGCACAAGCCTAATATTTTCCAGAAACAAGACTAGGCACAACTCTACGTCTTCTCCCTTTATTTCCTATCCCCTTCTGCATTCTTCAAATATCCATGTTACAAAAAGAGAATTACTGCCATTATTCAGTCTTGGCATTTTTACCAATTGTTTCAGCTTTCCTTCAACTCACAGAGAAGCTCATTAAAAAAAAGACATTTTCCTAGCTCTGCATTTCCTCACATATAGTTTTGGTTTTGTCTTCAGAGGATTTTGAGATATCCATCTTTGAGAGTTCTGCCTTAAGTCAAAGACAATAGAGGGAAATATAAATTCTTTAAGCACTGCAAACTGACATTTGAAAACCTCAGCAGCAACTTATCTCTGCAGAAACCATGTCTGAGGTATGCAGGATAACCCTCCGACCTCACAGCAACTGTTTCTGCTGGAACTTCTTGCGGTCAAAGGAGTATCTAACAGTTCACTGTTTCTGCTCCTCCATGATTTAATGCAGCTTTTTATCTGTTTCTCTTTCGTCATCCATGAAAATGAGACATTTCTGACTCTAAAACATTTCCAGTGTTTAAAAAGTGTAAATTAAGAATTGTGTTGAGATGAACTGACCGTCACCAGTGTGAGTCTCAATGCCCTCTGCTTTGTGCTTCTTCACAAGGGGTCACTTACCTTTGCTGATGGTCTGCAGTACCTGGACAATGACTGGGACTACTGCAATGGTTACGACAGGCGCTTTTACACCGAGAGGTGCAGTGGACTCAGACCTGCAGGTTGGAATGTTTTTTACTCTGTCAGGTTGTAATCCTCCTCTCCAAAAGAAATTGTTTTTGTCAAGAATGAATACACATTATTACTGTTTTCAGATGAGAAGCAAATAATAAGATGAATAATTCTGAAAAAATAAATATTGGGAATGAACGTACAAATTAATGATCTACATTTTAAAGAGACTATAATTTGTAACAAGCACTTAAAAGCAATGTATCAAATATTGAATTGTGACATTTTATCAGTGTTCTAAAACTGATACAAACAACATTTTAGAAAAGGCTTTAAACATTGCAACTCTCTCTCCTGTAGCTAACAAGATGTAGCATCTTGATTTACAAAAGGAATTTCAAAAGAAAAGTAAACTTTTGATCAGTGAGAGCACAGAGAGGTTTTCTACTTCCTTTCAGTCTGTCATAAGCTAACATGTGCACAAACAGAGGCATCATTTCTGTAATATGTTTTTATATTCTGTATCTTTTTTTTATTTATTTTTTTATTTTTATTTTTTTTACAAAACTTGAATTAGAGGATATAGCAACAAACAGGGTCTGTTAATTGAACTATTTTGGTATTGTTCCTGAGCCAATTTAGTGTTTTCATCTGAAGATCATGCCTATTTTTAATGCAACGCAGTCTATGCACCCAAAAATCGTGGAAACCAATGTCTCCTTTCAGTGCTTTATCAAGTGTTGAGAATTTTATCTGAGTTAGGATCAGGGTTATAGGGTCTTTAAACTAAGCTGTGCATAAAAAATAAAAAACAATATCTCCAAATTAACTGCAAGTGTTCTCAGAAAAAACATTGTTTTTTAAATCATTTAGTCATTTGCTTCCATGTTCGTAAAAGGTTAGAATGTGAATGTGATATTCCCTCAGCTCTTTATTAAGTTCATTAGAATATTTTAACATTGCCTCAGAATACAGGCTCTTTGTCCATCTCCATCCTGACAGCTGGAAGTAATTAGAATGAGCTTTGATAACACTGCAATGCTAATCGTGCTCAATGATGCCATTCAAAATGAAACACCTGCTCTTCTTATGCAGGAGAATCTCAGGTGACTGATCTACATCCTCCACGAGACATTCCTGATGGCTGTTATGACTGTGGAGATGGTTTCTATGACCCCACTAGCAGAGTCGTCACTTCCTATGCCGGAAGATTCCTCAGAAATGCAGGTGAGACCGAAAATAACATTTTTGAAAAACTATTTCAGCTGTGTGACAGCTGATGCCTCGTTACTTTTTATAAAAAGATTTTCTTCTTCTAACTCGGTGGAAAATTGGTTATATCGGATTGTAAAGTTGCATCCAGGCATCGAGGTCTGTTGAGCTAAGGGACATCAGACAGATTAAAGTCAAGAGCAAACACAAACATGCATTTATAATTGTGTAACTGTTATTTAATACCAAATTAACCACATTTCATTAAAAGATTGATAAAAAATTTAATACATTTCTTCTATTAATAAAGGTGTACATTTTAATTCCACAACAGTCATAACTGCAATCTATGTTGATTCTGATTATGTAGTTGCTGAATGTAAGGAAATTATTAGATAGATTCTGCAGATACGTGGTGGAGAAGTGGGGAGAGGAATGGTTGTGTTTTTGTTTTGTTTTTTTGTTTGTTCTGAATACACATTTTTAAAAGAATTTTCTTTTTTGCTCATTGTCAGATACGACAAAGGTCCTCCACTAAGTCTTGATTCTCATCCATTAACTATCAATTCTGATCTGTTTTCAGCATGGGAGCGTTTTCTTTTTCTTTCCAAATACAAACGTGAGTCAGGAGAAGATTGCTGGTAAAACTGTGTGTATGACTCTCTGGCCGCCCAAGGTGGAAATGTGTTTTGAAGCAGGATATGTGTATTCAAATGAGCCCTTTGTAATATGCGACAGAAATTCATTCCAAACGTACACAACTTTCCTTTCCACATGTAGAAAGTCAGAAGGAAACAGAGAAGATCCACATCCTCACCAGATGTTGTCAGCACATGCAAGAAAACAAAAGCATGTTTTGGGATTGATGCGAGTTGTTCATCACCATTACAGCTCTGGTAGTGATTAGAGAAATGATGAAGAGATATAGATATGGAGGAAGAGATCAAGTGAGGACAAAAGAAAATATGTTTTTTGGCGGTTAGGATGAAAAGGAGGAACTAAGTGTCTTGCAACAGTACACCCACCTTCTGTTTTCATTTAGATAAACATGGAGTCGAACAGGAAGTATCTAATTGATGTGTGCGTTTTTTTTTTTTAAGTGTTCGTGTGCATGTGCAGGGAGGGTTGTGCTCTGTATGTGGCTAGAGCTACATATCACACACCCCATGTATGCCTGTGTGCGCTCTCCCTTTTGTCTTGGTATACAATTCTTGAGAGGAAAGCTCCTGTATCCTGTATGGATTTATTTTTCAACCCTGGGAGGTGATGGCATATTTGTCAGAGTGGGTGTGAAGACTGAATTTATTGCTCGGTGGCTTCCGTCCAGGATGAGGACTGCAGTGATGATGGGACACAGGGAAGGCCCACCCTCCCAGTGGGGACGTTTGCTGCTGCAAGAAAGAGGAAGGAGATCCCTATGCAGCTGAGGATATTTGACGAGGGAAAAACAGAGCCGATGAAAACTGATGCAGCCAAAAGCTGCCATGATGATTTGCTTATGACGCTTTTTTAGCACAGACCACTTACAGTTCACACCTGGAAGCAAATGTTGTTGTGAGGAGGTATCTGGCTTTAACTTAACAAACTGGCCAAAACTGACCCTTTGCAAAGACTTGCCCTCCTTAGTTACTGTTGCTAACTTGAACAAACAGTTCATTTTGGAATGGAGCCAAGCAGCAAAACAATAGGATCCGTTGCTAATATTCCCCAAGAGCTTATAGATTATTTTGGGAGTAGAAGAAATTTCTTGTCATCGACGCCTGAATGGAGGAGGTGTTGTCAAAAAAATTACACCAAATGTTGACATGTAGAATGAGATATGAAATGGAAGAGTGAACACAAAGCACTTCCAGGGGATTCAACTCTTTAGTTGGGACATCCAGTTTTCAGTCTGTTCATCTGCGCTGTGCACTCAGCAGTGAGCGTTTATTCATGCACAAGGCTATTTTATAAAGCTGGGAGCAACAAAATACTAAGTAGACGAGCCGACCGATAGAAGGGTTTATTTTTACGCTCTGACAGAGACTCAAAAAACACTTCCTTGATTTGAGTGTGAGGGATATCAAGTTCCCAATAATTAATTCCCACAATAATAATGCGATAAGCAGCATTTATACACAGTGAGAGCTAAAAAGAAACAACAAATTAAACTGGCTGCAAAAAAAAATTAATTAAATGGCAAATTAAAAGATTGAGTTGAAGTTCTCAGCCAATAAAATAAGTTTCAGATAAACACCATTAAGGCTTCCTTTTTTAAAGATGTAATCTGGGACTTCACTAAGCTACTGGGTGTTTCACTGGAGCGCAGCCCAATTCACACCAAACCAAAATACTAAGCCAAAACTGAAAGTGAAATCTTATCTTCTAAATGCAATTAAAATACATTATACAATAGGTATGTCAAGCTATATGACTTTGAGTTCAAACTTTCCTGTGTTGGTTTGGATTGTATCCCTGTCTTGTGGGTGTCAGGGCAGGAAACAAGAGGGAGACCGGCTGTGAGGCACATTACACGCCTCTGTGAGCTCACATAGCAAGTAGATCCTGACTGCAGTATTAAGATTTACATTTTTTATACTTTAATATCATGATTTCAGAAACATGTAGTGGTTTAGCAAATTCATGTTTTGTCATTTTGTTTATACTAGATCCTGACAATGGATAATTGTCGTGAAAGTTACAAATATCAGGAGGTGCATAACAGAGCAAAATGAGTAAAAAGTGCTCAGATATCATGATGCCAGTTTTCACTAACTTTAGAAACAACAAGTAAAGATTTCCCATTCATATTTAACAAAATTAAGATAATGTTCCCTCATTCCTTCACCCTAATAAAGCCAAGCAAATACAATAGGGGGCTATGATTTAGTCTATTATCAAGTCTTTTTTTAATTGTATTTAAACCGAATTTGTAGAAGTCATCTCAGTTAATTTCTTAAAACATCACAGACATTTTAACTTGTTTGCTTGAGAAAATGTGCGGCACAGGTATTTACTGTGCGTGTTGTAAATGAGCTGGGAATACATGTGGATTTTAATGACGCTGTGAGACAAGGACGGGACCTTTATCAGCCGAATAATGAGAAGTCAACTCATTACACTGATTACCGTTGTCTGTCTTTTTGTGTCCATGTGAGGTAACGGTCCATGTAAATGTACAGAATCATGATATATATATATATATATATATTTATACACACACACACACATATATATATATATACATTCACATACATACATACATGCATATGTATACAAGCTATAACCATGTTCAATTTATTTGATTGGTTTGATTTCAATTAAATCTTTCTGTTTCTTTTTTCCTTTGATGAGAGCTTTACAAAAGAACATGTGGTTCTGCCTCATTGTGACAAAACCAACACAGCTTGAATAAACCAGACATGCTACAACTTAAAGAAATGATTACCATAAAATCTGCAATACAAATCACATACTCAACAAACTAAATATTTTGAATAAAAAACACTTGAGAGGTTATTTTCAGCTGATTTCAGTAGATTTGCAAGGACATACAATCCCATTTGAATTAGCTGTTACTTTTAAAGATGGATGACAAAGGTTGGAGGTTCACATGTCTGATTAGTAAAAGTGTAATTAGAAACAATATAAGGGAAAAATGCATAGGTCACATCTGCTTCGGCACAATCAAATCTCCACCACTGACTGCTTGAGCGTGTTCTGTTATTACAAACAAACACGCATCCTGTGAGCTGTGTAAACTGTGTTCTCGCTTGGCAACAAGCAGCTCCAGAAGGGGCCGTGTGTTGCCATATTATTTGTAGCACTTTCCCGTCTCTGGAATAACTGCTTCCATTTGATACTGTGCTCAGAACAAGCTCCGCACTGAAAACATTCCTCTGCCAAGGAAAACACCTCTGGTGACCAAATCGTGGGCCGTCTCCTTTGTCCCCTCCAGTGGAGGTGTTTCACAGACAGATAACATCAGCCTGGGCTCTGGGGAGGGGAGCATATATTCCCCATGCAACCTTTTCTGAAATGCTTCCCTCTCAAACATCTGAAATAGTTTGACCGTAAAATAGTATTCTTGTGTTATTCCTGCGATCTGTAGCAGATGAGTTCAAGATTCGAAAGATCCGAAACTGATAAGTAAAACCACGGGCTGGTGTGTTGACAGTGAACTGGAGACAGAAAACTTAAACATTTGTTTGAATGTTATTTTAGCATTATAATTGTGGTGGTGTGTGTAAGGGGGGGTGGGAATATAGAGCACAATGGCTCAGACTAGTTTAGCCTCTGTTTGCTGTTTATGAGCTACATCTCTGACTCAGAACACTGTATTTCTATCTCGGTTTCATCTAGCAGAACTCCATCTCGGTTTATGCAAATCACCATAACAAAGGAAAACACTTTTTTTTTTGTTAATTGAAACAGTGTCTATGCCTTTGTATACATGTGTGTGAGGGTAAAACCACTGCCATTAAACTGGAAGGAAACACTTTGCCTCTGAGTGTATTTTGAGGATTAAGATAAACAAACTTTAACAAGGTGCCATTATGGCTTCCACACTTTCGCTCCTGTGTACATCAGCCATGTGACTCCAGATAGAATATCTACTCCCAAACTCTTAGGTTATGTATGTATACATTTTGTAAAATGCTGAGGATACAGGCATTAAACAGTTTTTCTTGGTATCTGGATATCTCGCACTGACATTTGTGTCCAGTAGTATACCAGTACATCAACATTATTAGTCAATTCTTTCAATTGACAGAGACGGTTCATATAAGAGGACAAACAAAACCAACCAAAAAAACTGTGCTGCTCTACCGACACCTCATGACAAAACCTAAATACACCAGCCACCTGTGCCCTCTGGTAACTTAAGGTACCAATTACACGTGACTTAAACCCTGCCATAATTGCGGCTGCACCGTCTGAAGAGGACAGAAGTACAGCAAATATGAAAATGCCCCCAATCTAATTATCATTAAGTTGTCGATGCGGTTAAAAGAGGTCAGTCACTTGGCAACGTGGTAATATATTGCGTCCAATAATTACGTATCCCACTTCCAGCCGGGTTCACAAAGACTGGGGGGAAAATGTCCGCCGTGGCAGCTGTCGCGTGGCCCGCAGCACATTCAATTGACCTCGCGATCAGTGCAGGTAGAGGAGAAGCAGACAGAAAGAGGGGGGGTGAGGGGCTCACGTACTTGAAGCGACTGTTAGCGTCGACGCCCATCGCTGGCAATTACACACAATCAGTCCGATAGTTCCAGACCTGCTCCTCCGTACAATGGGGCCCCGCGAGCGACGTGGAACCTGGGGGTGAGGCCCGCGAGCTCAAGTGCGTGCAGCTGCGCGCGCTCCAGAGAGAGAGAGCTCACTTCCCCTGCAATTAGCTCCTCGTTGGAGTTTTTTTAACAAGGAAAAACTGGTTTATTATCAGCTCCTCTGGCGGTCGTTTCGTTCAAAATAGATTGCCGTCCATTTTTGGGCTTGTTATTTGTTGGTGTCTGAAGTGGCTCTGAGAAGTTATTTTCTGCTAATTGTTGGGCTTATCTGGCTTTGACAGTTTCAACCGCGATTTGAATGGTACTTCAGTGTTTCAACCTCTCTCTCACACACACACAATGATATGCGTTTTAATAAGAAGGATACTGGTTATTAGTCATTTTATTTAAGCTTAAGCAAGGGGGAAAACCCAGCAAAGCCTCTTGCAGTATTCCCTTCTTCATACACTTGTAGGTTTTTGGTAATAAATATTACTCACTGCTGATTCAAACAAACTTCAAAATATTGCCTGTTTTGTCTATGGAAAAACTTGATTGTTCCATCAACTCTTTCCAACAGATGACTCCGAACATGAGTGGATTTTGAGGACCTGCCGGAAAGCTTGGGATGAGGTGGATGATCCTGGAAAATCAGTTGCACCCAGAACTACAGAGACTAACAATGAGGCCTTTTAAACTATCCGGACAATATTAAAACGGATTTAAATGAAAAGTCTGGTTTTGTGTTGTGTACGTCTTTTTAAAGGAGGACAAATAATAGTTTGAAATCATGTAGCCTGACATGGTGTTTCATTAGCTTTGTCCAAAGCCCAAACAATTGGACCCTATTCTTAATTCCTTCATTCTTGTTTGTCCCCAACACACACACACAAACAGTTTTGGTACAAATTTGATTAAACTTGTTTTAATTTATACTGTACCACACATGAAAAGGTTAAATTATTTGCCAAGCTCATTTGATTTGCAACGCAAATCAGTTATTGTATCATCGCTGCATTTAGGATTTATTTTAGCAGTAGCTCAAGAAAAAAAGGTAGGTGCTTTGTATGAGTCGACAAAAAGCATTAACATTTTGAAAGGCAGATTTTCTTTTCATTAATGTAATGCTCGCCATGAGGAAACCTCCCTGGTTCATGCTAAAAACGTCTTTCTGAAAATATAAGTATAGATGTACATTTATTTAATTTATCTACTTTCACTAAAGAACGGAAATGCAAAAAGCCATTACGAGGAGTGAGGTAAAACACAGCTCACTGTTACATCATATTAGTTGATTTTATTAATATTTTTACACTTCAAGTTCTTTCTGCATTTAATGACTCGTGCCCACATTTCTGTACGTTGGACCTCACGGTTAGTTTGTTCAAATCAAAAAGCGAATTTGTGCTTTGCTGCTTTAACCTCAGAAATTATCCACAAAAAAAAGACAAGATGTCACACGCTATTTTATTGTATTTTATTACACAAAACATTTATGATGCACAGTCTATCAAATAAACCTTTTGTTTATCTTCTTGTTTTTTGACAAAACAAAACCATTTCAGAGAGGGAAAAGTGCTTTACAGGGATTTACCATCTCAATAAATACAAAGACTTTGAGGTCATGTCGGATCCTGTTCTTCACACAATGGTTATGGCACTAAAATACAGATGCACACTCGCTATCCCTGCCAATACACACACAGAAACACTTGCACACGCATCTTACTATGTACAAACCCAGTCAGTTTTATACTGTCCATTTTGTACCAATAATCCATTTCCCTCTGTGTGAGACACACAAAAAGGGTGAACAAGCAACCTTATAAATTATAAATTAGTGACAATTCAATTGCTTGAAAAAGTAATGTATCAGATGTTGTAGGATTGTGTAAGGATTGTGACTCATGACTTTAATGTTAATGCCATAATTCCCAAATTTCAGATTTATGTGTGGTGATTTTAATTCAGGATGCTTTTTTAAAGTTTTAGTCTGTTGACGTAATCTTGCGTATTCCAATTAATTTACTGAATATTTAAGATGATTTGATACCCTCAGAAATTATCAGCACTTAAAGTTCCAAAAATATTCAAATCATTTTTCAGTAATTACTACACATTTTATTTTGCTTTAACAATAGAAAAGATAAGGCACATTACGTTTGAATTCCTTGGCAAAAATCTCTAATTTCAGTGAATCATTTTCCATCAAAGCAACTGGGGAATTTTTCTGCTATTAAGTTAATAGTTAAAAAGTGAACAACATTCTGTTGACATTTGGGTTTCCTTCATGGTTGCTTATAGAGAGAAAAGGGAGTAGTCTTACCTCTCTTGTGGTTTATTGTGTATGCCCTGTCCATTGGACCACAGTAAACGTCAAATTTATCCTCAGTATTCTGACAAAGCTCAAAAAGATTCAGTCCTGCCTCCATATCATCCCTGCAAAACTCCCCTCGTCTTCAGGTCAAAGGGTGAGTGAACAGAGTTGAGGAGGTTGTATACATGAGGCAAAATGGATCCATTTGGGGGTTTCATATAAAGTCAGCGAGTTCCTGCCAGTGATGCATGCTTGACAGTCATTTTTGACATACTGGCTGCAGGTTTCCAGATCTTCTTTCAGTCCTCAGAAAGAAATTAACATAGTAACAGATGTGTTTGAGTTTTTTTCCTCTTCCTTCAGTTTGTTTAGGAGCAGACAGAGTTCCTGTAAGATTAGTCTTTTGTCCATGCTGACTCCTGACCGGTCTGCACGAGGTCAGCTGGAGTTGCTGATGGGAGCTTCTGGGTAGGGTTCCAGAGGTTAAAGGTCATTTCAAGAAACTAGCGGCTGAGGGGGAGCTGTGGCAGAGACATGGACTGGTGAGGGAGACTCTGAGAGGCCAGCACAGAAAAGGGATGACCTGTAAGCAAAGAGAGAAAACAAATTAGATTGAAGTCTTCAGCAAAAGCTTTGTGACTTTTAAAGATCTCATAAGCCGTTGCATCTGTTTAATGCACAAGAGTAACTCACTGTCGATGTACCCATGAAGGGCCACCATGCGTGCCCGCTCAGGACTGCCAAACGGAGAGTAATGCAGCTCATCGGGTAGCGATGAGGGTATCCTCGACTGAGGGTGACCCTGGGGAGCCCCACTGTGCTGAGGCGTATGCTTTTTATGTCTTGCTCTGCAGTTTTGAAACCACACCTATGAAGATGCAATGTAACATCATGTTGCTATACTCTCATGTTGCTCATCATGTTGCCAGATAAGGTCATAGTATTTTATCATTATTAATAGCAGCTACAACAATGTACAAATCAATTTAAAAAAAAGGTTTGCATTATCTGTTGATTTAAAAATCTCAAACAAATATTGTTATATACAATAGAACATAACAGACATATCAAACGTCAGAAAGAAAGACCTTCTACTTTTCATTAAAAAACACTGGGTCAAATTAAATGGCTGAAGCATATGTGCAAAAAAAAGTTGGAACCGTTCTAGTTTACCACTCTGTCATCCCTTTGTTTTTTAACAGCTGTCTGTAAACATCTGGAAACTGCAGAGAACAGATGCTGGAACTTGGATAAGAGAAATGTTTTGTCTGAAAAGGGGATTATGGCTGCTCAGCCATCTTGGATCTTTTCGTAGTAGAAGTAGACTTTGGTTTAGTATTGTACTGCTGAAATATGCAAAGTCTGAGAAAGATGTCATCTGCATAAGAATGTGTGTTGCCCTGAAACCTGTTTCTATCCATCAGGGTTGATGGTGCCTTTCTAGGTGTGGAAGTAGCCAGATCCTGAGGCAGGAATGCACTCTCATATCATCAGAGTTGCACTTTTTCGACTAGTATCAAAGCATTGTTGTGGTTTAGAGATGTACTGGTAAATTAACTAAACTGAGCTGAGTTGACAGTGTGGCCTTGTAATGGACTGGCGATCTGTCCAGGGTGTATAATGCTTCTTACCACATGACAACAGGGAAATTATTAAACCCTGTGACACGAACAATTGGATTATGTAGGTATAGAAAATAGTGTAAGGTCATTTACCTTCTCATCAATAGCCTCATGGTCATATAGTACATAAACACCATGCATGGGCCTAAAATCTTGATTTCACACCATTTATCCATATTCTCAAAAACATTTGTCAACATTACATGGTGTAGATGATTTGTCAAGATTCTTTCAGACCCAAACATTATTAGTTGACTCTTACTTTTCTGTTGCACCATCGCAAGTTTTTTTTTTGGGGGGGGGGGGGGGGGTTGTTGCTGCCAAGTTTTAAGTGTAACAGGTTTAACTTTCTGAGATGGTTATTTTAACTGTGTGCAGTTATCTAAAAAAAAAACAAAAAAAAAAAGACTTAAAATAATTGCAGAAGAAAAAAACAACTAAAGAGAGCGTATCTTTCTGACTGCTGACCTGTATAACTCTCCTGCTTAGGCCCGTCATGTCGGCTAGCTTCTGTAGTGTTTGGGCGTCTGGATTGTTGTCCTGAGCAAACTGTGCCTGCATGATCTGCAAAGTGAGGTAACGGATCAGAACATATAAGCATCTGCTACTAAAAAAATACTTTTTTTATTCACCCTTTTGTGAAATAAATGTAATAAATGCAAAACTCATAACAAACTGACCTGTAGCTGCTCTGCAGTAAAAGACGTCCGTGCCCTTTTGGCCGGTTTGGGTTGACTGTCCTGTTCTGTTGGAACTGCACCTTCTAATGTGATGCCGTTACCTGAACAACACAGAGACGGTAAATTAATATTGACCTAAAAATACAATAGATGACCTAGATATTGTTATGTCGTTTAACCACGTTCCACAATGCAAGTTCATTTTTACCCCATGAATTTAAAGGATGTAATTGTGTGTTTTAATTCACTGCAGCTTGTGAAATATGTCCCCAATAAGATAAAAAATATTTCTTTAGGAAAAAAAAAAAAAGACATCTTACATTTACCACATACATATCGTTGATTAAATCCTGTGTTTGAAAATCAGTATCGAGCATTTATTGGGGCCGTCAGCACTCACCACTTTCGGCCGCTCTTTTGAGGTTCTCCACCATGGTGTCATAGTGGATCCGACATAGGACTTTGTCTTCCACCAAACCAAACTCCTCCCCTGTGGATAACTGCCTCTTGCATGAGTAGCATGCAAAACAGGCCAAGTGGTATGCGTTCCCTCTTGCGCGGCGCACCCAGTCGCTGGCGTATATCTGCCGCCCACAGCGGGCACACTTAGTACCAAACCTACTGTGAGGGAGAGAGGGAGAGAGCCACAGAGGTAGAGAGACAAGTGGAAAGAGAATGAGTTATAAATGCAAACTACCAGAAGATAATCAAATCTGAACATTCAAAATTAAAGCTCTACTTAGAAGATATTTTTGGCAATAAAAAAAAAAAAAGAAGAAATGAAAGAACATGGGCTCGTGTCTTTTTCTGTGAGAATACTGTCAGTGTGGGATCTAAAACTTCTGGCATATCTCAAATGTTTTAAGGAAGAAACCTTGGAGGAGGATATGGCTTTCAGAAAAGACTGTAGTATGCGGCTGCAAGCTGAGCCTTGAATGCAAACAAACCAACACCTGCAATTTCCTGACTGATCCATGAAGGCTCTGACACACACACGCACACACACACAGCCCCACTCAGACACTAAGTCGAAAGAAAACACTCCACACGTACAACTCTGGTTTTACACACAGTGGAGGACGAGGGAAGACTGCGATGACATCATTCTAGATCGCCAAGTGTGTAACTGATAGCAACAGTGAGGTCGTCTGAATATAAACTCAAACCAACTGATTTACAGTTCTGGGTGGGTGGTTGCAAGGGTCGTGGGGCACAGTGACAGTGGATGAGAGACAAATAGCCAGCAAGTCACAGAAAGAGAGGGGCTGTAGGTGAGGAAATGAACATGCTATGTCAACAAATGCCTTAAGGCTGCAAGCGCACAGCACAAGATGTTAATGTCTAAAATAACCACGTTTTTTAACTGCTGGAAATGTGACACCACAAAAACAAATACGTCAGATCTAATTACACCATGGTTCCCCGATATGAGCAGAAGTTGTTTTACTGTCAACAAATCTAATGGAAACACCAAAACTGATTACACTGCCTGTTCTCGACAATTCTTTTGAGCAGTCTTGCTCAAACTTGGCAAAATGTGGCGCTCTGTTTCAACTGCAGATTGATTTGATGTTCTACAGAGCAGTGCATGATGGATGGACTTGAAGTTAGTCAGTAAAACTTGACCTGCTGGTTTGAGACTCTGCTCTGCCTTGAATCATCCCATCATTTGTTTGCTTACACAAGCTAAAATGACCTGAAATTACTTTTGAATAACATGGAACCATGAATAACAGCAACTGCAGCTGTGGAGCTTAAAAATAGCATCCATGACGGTAAAGATTGGTATGTAAAAAGAATGGATTTTAGCCCTAGCCATCATCAAGAAATGTTGATTCCTAAACCTAATAATGATGAATAAATCCAACCAGGTAGTAACAGTAATGTTTTAGTAAAGTGGTGCTAATGAAACTGATTTTGAACAAGAGTCCCATGTTGAAAAAAACATGAATGATGAATGCAAAATGAAAGAATGGAGTGGGACATTACAAAAAAAAGATCAATTTAACATGAGGATCTTATCCTATAATTGAGATTAACCGGCAGGTTTTGTGAAGTATCAGGAAACAATAAAACCTCCACAAATTCCCTGTTTTGCACAAGAATGAAACAGATTAAGCCCCATGTTTCAAGAGTAAATGATGGAGTGTAATGGGTGTTAAACGCTAGAGGTTTAAGACAGTTAGGGTTTGGTTAAGAGCCATTGTTGGGGTCAGCAGCTGCCAATTCTGGTGACAGAGGTAAGATCTTTAGTCAGGCAGTAAAAAGTCTTAGGGGAAGGGGCATAAACAGCCACTAATGCTCATTTCCAACGGTAGGTCACTGGACAGATAAACAGAGAAAAGAATTATAGCTGCCATTTTGGGATTTCACCCCAGAAAAGATAATGTGGCATAGTCAGAAATATGTCAGGGGAACAGCTAAAGGGAACAAACAGAAAGTCAGACACAAAGACTGCCTAAGAGGAGGTACGGAACAGAGACAGAGAGCTGTAGTGCTGAGGGAAGAGGCAATGTGAAGTATGTCAGTGGCAGAGAGACAGAGCTGGAGGACGGGGGCGCATTGCCAAGTGAGTGGGTTTGGCAGCCTATCAGTGCACTCAAGTCCATTCTGTCTAGGATGAAAGCATACTATAGCCCTGACATCTCATAAGCTCACAACCCGTACGAGCCAGAGGTTTCTTTTTCATGCATGGAGTCCAGGGTATCGTCCATGTCTGATCCTGCATTGATCTGTATTTTTTCTTAGCTTTGATCAGAACAATTCAATGCTTAATGACACATTTAAAAAAAAGGATTATTTGAATGTTTACTGACTGCAGTGGAGTAAAAACAGCAAGCGTGGCACCTATTTGTGATATACTGAAGCTGCACCACGGACAAATGAACCCTGTTGCTGACTGGATGGTATCTACTCTTTAGGATTGTTATGGATGATTCCATCTTGTGTCTCAAGTAGAGGAAAACATTGTAGAATACTCTGGCTAATCAAGCATGACAGCTTGTCAGTTTCATGCTCTGAGACAGAACCCAGAAAAGCTGCAAATCATCCCATGTTTTAACCTCCTCCTCCGCTATCTCCCCCCCTTCTATAATTCAACCCCATACTTTTTGTGTGCACCGAAAACCTGATGTTTATGTTGGAATGATGTCAATCCTCTCAGCCCCAACATCATCCCACACCACAAAACTCACTTTTCCCCCAGAACTATATTTTCTTCACTTCTTTTGCCTACTTTTCTTTGTTTTTTTTCTTCTTCTTCTTTTTTTTTATACAGTAATTCACCTGCTCCTGAAAGACGGGCTTGAGGAGGTACACGTTTTTTGGATTATATAAATTGTGCTTTGAGAATTTACTAATCTCTTTTAGATTTGTCCTAAGAGAGGTCTTGCCTGACTTGAAGATTCCACAGCATGGAGTCCATTTGTAGAAATCTAAGATGGGAAATGAAGTGGAAGTGTTCCATATAGTTTGCAGAATTGAGCCAATTTATCCTGTTTACCAGGATTTCACAGATTGACCCTGCGAAAAGAATCCTTGACATTTTTAGTCCCTGCTCTTTGAGACCACTTTTCTTTGTCTGGTTTGCAGCTTGGATAGTCTGTGTCACCATTTTAACTGGGTTGCTTTTATTCAAACTGTGAGATGAATGTCGTGGTAGAATTTGAATTCACTTGCTTCGAAATAAAACACAAACACACACACTCTGTGCCCACTGCTTGCTTTTGTTGCTATGGAGACCCAATCAATTGAGCAGAGGTGGATGGTTGATGAATAATTATCATTAAAAATATTTTAAAAAGCACAAGCCCGCAGACACAGAAAGAGATGCATCCACATGTGCACACATCTCAAAGTTCATTACCTGCGTGGACTCTGACTACAGTGTCGGTGTCCCGGGGAGCCCCTGATTAGTGCAGCAATGCAACTTCCTGTGTGGCCTGCAGCTCACGGACATGGATGAGGTTTCTACAGAGCGGGGCGGAGGGGGGCTGATAAAGAAACGGTCTGTGTGTGTGTGTGTGTGTGTGTGTGTGTGTGTGAGATCAAACCCCTGAGGCCTGACATGGGTTTGAGAGGCACAGCGGGGGCTCTATCCTGCCCCCAAATGCTGACATACCCTCCACCCCACCCCTGCTACACACATTCACATGTACACGGAGGGAAACCCACTCTGATTTCCTGCTATTACGCCCCATTAAAGCAGCTGTCAGTCCAAAGCCAGATGAGAGGCTGACACAGATGAGGAAATATCTCCAGAGGCTTGAAAGCAGCCCAGAGGTTCTGGACTTGCAGTGGCGTTTAGTCTTGTTTAAATCTGGCCTAAACCCGAAGGCAGTTGATATTTACAGAACGCTGCAAGCCGCAGCAGAGCCTCACTGTTGCTGCAACGTTTTATTTCATTTGTCACTCTCATGCCATTAAATCGAAACCCACATGTTGCGTCAATAAAAAAAAAGGATTTATGAGAGGTTGATTTTGTTTACCATTTAAATGATACGCTTTGCGGTCTGATCTGCTTCCCACCAAAAATATGAAATAAACGTGACTGTCATATCTGTCTCAGAGGCTTCAGAGCCGCCATACCTGTTAGACCGTGAACATTTCTAAACTGAAAAAACTGGTGAAAATGTGGGTCATGGCATGCCTTCACCTTGTGGTCACTTTTAAACTAAGTAACCTTGATGTAAACTGGCAGCTTTGCATCAGATGAAGATAAAGATTTGACCCATTTCACCTCAGAAATTCAAACATGCAACATGAGATAAAAGTCCAACAAGTAAAATATGAGACAGACAACTATAAAGCAAACTTATATTGATTTTTGTACTTCTACAACAGCAGCTTGATTTATCTGCCCAATTTTTAATTCATAACTGAATTAATCTACACATGCAAAAACTCTGGCTTGAATACAGCTGCAGCCATAGCTGTGATATCCCTCTCGGGGCCCTCGTTGACTTTGTCTACACTGCACACAGCTATGTAATTATTTCAGCAAGCATTCAGAATCCAGGCAGATTTAGAGCAACAAATATTTAGTCTATGAACTTGATGGTCATTCTCTCAGCAAAAATTATGTTTCTCTGACTAACTTCTGACAGGTGTATAACTAGCTACCTCTTTATGTTTTAAGTAAACCAGGCATGCCCACATTCTGACTGCTGATCAAACAATAAAAGCGGCTGACGCATCTCACCTTGGTCTTCCAATAAGAGTGACTGCGATTCGCCAGTGCTTTCAGAACTTTTTATCACTACAAATATCCATCAGATTTAATCCAAATTAAGATCAGTGTCACAGTTCTCCAGTGACTTATCAGCTTCACCAAAAACGCAACAGTATGAATGGAAAAAGTTGAGGTGCACAATCATTTCAGAGCTTGATTCTATTTTACGTTATGTGTATTTAATCTGTGTCTCTCTGTGTCACAGTCCGGAGATCAGAACGGGTCATGTAAAATTTGACCACGCTGCACTAGTGCAAACACAATTCTTAATTTTTTTATGAAACAAATAATAGCACAATGACTGGCAGCTGCTCAACGTGCATAAATAAACAGAGATTTAAGTGGCTATTTCAGTGTGTGTGCATTTGTGTGTTGTTGTATCTCTGAGGGTGACTGAGTTTGAAGAAAGATCATCTGTATGCACATTCATGCTAATGTGCATTTAAATGCCTCATGTGTACGCTTTCATATTCTACATCATAAGTCTGCCCGTGTTACAGTATGCAATTACATGCTTTGGTGAGTGTGTGTGCGTGTGTGTTTCAGTTTGGACAGAAGTCATTCACTTCAGAAACATGCTGACCAGACTCTCGGGGCGGTCTAATTGCCGGGTCTGGAAGCCTGAGGGTGTGGGTCGGAGGACAGCTAATTGCCGGTGATTATAAACCTCAGAGTGGTGGCTTGGTGTCAGGTTTTGATCAGACAAACACCAAAGTTCCCTCGCAGCTCCATGAACTTGCACACATATATATAGTGATAGGCACGTGTGTCTATAAACCAGCTCCAGGCTTCTGAACATAACTTTATTATGTTGTGGCTGAAGCGAACCCAATTTAACCTCAGGTACCACACACACACACACACACAGACAGGATAAAATATCTTCCAGGGACTTTATCCGCAGTGGATATGTTTTTGAAAATGTATGAATATTAGATTTTAAAATTATATTGCTCAAAATTTTAGATTTATCCTCTCCTGCTTTATTTGAAATGAGGACCATTTCTTATTTTAACATATGATAATGGCAGTATAGCAGTGGCTACAATTAGTCAGAATATATAAAGGCCATTGTTTTGTTTTTTAATATATGGGCTACATATCTGTCATTGAAGGAATTAAGGAGAATAAGGTCAAAGGCAATAGAGCCACCTTGCATTGCACTTAACACTCTGTGCCCCTCTGGGAACCGTCTAAACGTGGATAACTGCACAATCAAACGGGCATTTCCGGTGATTTCGTTAGTCTCGCGTGTCTCTCTCAAACTGATTTAACAAAAAAAAAAAAAAAGCTACCGCGCGCCACGTGGCACGTGGACCTTTAAGCGAGTTATTAAATGGAAAGCACCGTGTTTGAGGAGGGATAGAGTAGTTTGGGGGGGGGGCAGACCTCTCACATGTGCTAACCAAACCGGGGGATGTCAACAAGAGAAAAAGCTAATATGACCCAAACGGCAGACGATAGTGAGATGGTGAATAAAAACAATAATGCGAATAACCTTACCTAACCTAAAAACTGTTTTTTTTTTTATTATCAAGCTGCTATTCCAGGCTTCGTTTATCCAGACTACAATGCCGTCCTTTTTTAGCTCCTTCCGAGGATGTTGTGTTTTGGATAGCCACAACAAACCTGCGGATCTTTCAGCTCTTTACTGCGAGCAGAGATTTTTATTTGGATACACACTTTCAGCTTTTGAAAAGGCCTTTCAAGAGAACATGAGGCAGCCCACATCCATCTCAAAGGGCTCCACGGTTGCGTGTGTGTTAGTGTGTGTGTGTCAGATAGAAAGAAAGAGAGAGGGAGGGAGAGAGAGGGAGCGGACGTGGTGTTTTGAAAACACAACCACAAACTTACCCTACCTGAAATAATCCATTTTACAGAAGATTTCTTTGTTTTTGATGTAGCAGCTGCTGTGCTGACGTAGCGACGTCCTGCACACCGAGCACTCGAGACAGCGCACGTGCCAGATCAGGTTGTTCACCTGCGGGATCAGAGCAGCCGTGTCACACAGCGGGAAAATACCTGCAATTATTCAGTTCGTTTTTTTTTCTTCCTAATCTGAAAAGATATCATAAAGGCTGACGAGATATAATTACGGGATATTTTTCAATTGGCCCGAAATATATATTGTTTTACTCCTTCGCGCCATTTTGTCATATTGGAATTTGGCCTGATCGTTTGAATATTTATAGATTTGCCACGACTAATTATTAGATTGTGGCGTTTGTGTCTCTCTAGATCATTTTATTTTTGTATGTGAAATTTACAGCTGAATTTTGTCCCCATGGCTATAGTGGTTTTCGTTATTGGCTTAAACTCAACTAAATAATCATGTAATCAATGCAGGCCTGAATGTAATAGGCCTATTAGATATCCAAAATGAATACTTCGCTGCCTGTGAGTTTTTTTTCCTGAAACGAGTTAAAACAATTTCGTTCAGAGATAATAAAAACAATGCGAGTTTTTAAAAAAGGAAAAGTTGTAGTTTATTAAACGTTTTAGATTTGTTCATACATTTCCATACGACCTCCAAACTGCCCACGTTATGCTAAAATGTCTTTCCAAAATAAAGTTTTATTTTATCGGGGCTCACATTAGAATAGGCCTATTAAAAATGTTTTCTTTTTTTCGCTGAGTTTTTATTTCACGTGAATCTACAATTATCATAATGAATATAATATTAAATTAGGGCCCATTTATTAAGACTAATAACAGCTTAACCAATCGTTTAGAATTAAAATCTAACATAAAAAGACTAGCATTCATTTTTCAGAGCAGACCCAAAGAAGCCTTGAAACTATGGGTTTTATCGTCAGACATAGGTGGTTAAATTTCCCCATTATGCATTTGGAATTTTTTTATACTCATTTAATTTGTGGACATTAAACTAATCCAACATATTAATAAAGAAGAAAATAAAGGAGAGTGATCTGAGACGCCCAAACAATATGCAAACTGCATTTTTTCAGTTGGACTTAATATTGTAAATATCAATTTATAATTAGATCTTTGAAATCATCCCTCTGCATAAAATAACTAAATCTTTCTATTAATTGTCGTTCCATTTCAATGGGAGCTTCCTCGGTCTTATCTGTTTGGCGGCTAAATGTGGTGAGATAACGGGCCGGTGATGTTCACGCTTCCTAAAAACACGTTTGCGCGCGGGGAACGAGTGTTTTGAGTGGCAGCACGCGAGCGCACGCGACAGGACAGGACGCACTGACAGTGAAGCTGGAAGACAGCAAAGGCCAAAACATTCCTGTTGTGTCTGCGGTCTCTCAGACGCAGCTAACGTTTCAGAATGGAGATAAGATCCATCCATCCATCCATTATCAATACCGCTTATTCCCTCATGGGGTCGCGGGGGGAACTGGAGCCTATCCCAGTGGTCAACGGGCGAGAGGCAGGGTACACCCTGGACAGTCCGCCAGTCCATCGCAGGGCCACACACAGGACATACAAGGACAAACAACCACTCACACTCACATTCACTCCTAAGGGCAATTTCCCCAATCTCCAATCAGCCTCACATGCAGGTTTTTGGACTGTGGGAGGAAGCCGGAGAACCCGGAGAGAACCCACGCAGACACAGGGAGAACATGCAAACTCCGCCCAGAAAGGTCCTGGTTCCCCCGGGATTTGAACCCAGAACCCTCTTGCTGGGAGGCGACAGTGCTAACCACCACACCACCGTGCCGCCCCGGAGATAAGATCGTCGTTAAGAATTAAAGTGCGGAGGTTATTGTTCATATTTCCACTTAGACATAGCTGTAGGTTGTTGTGATTGCAAGATTTACTATTATATAAGTATTGAGTTTGAGTAATCTAAGGAACGCATTAAGTTGTCAAGACCCTTTTTCATTCCAACACATCAAATCAAACACAGTCTAATCCAAAATAAGCCAAAATGGCACCGTCTTTCTTTCCTGTTATTTTTGTGCAGAGGGGATTAGATCTGACTGTATTCGTGCAAACGCTTAAAGAAAAAAAAAAGTCCATAAATGCTAATGTTTTGGAAGGAAATATATAATCGTCTGGAGAAAGAAAAAAAAAACTTTTTTTTTTATCCTAACCAATTCTAAAGAGTGGGCTTGGCCCCTCACCTTCAGCAAGTATCTGTCCAGGATCTCCAGCCCGCAGCTGGCGCACAGGTTCTTCCCGTTGGACGGCACCGAGCTGCTGGTGGAGGTGGGCGAGCACACGGAGGGGGTGGACGGTGTGCTGGGAGACGAACGGGTGTCCTCCCGCTCCATGTTGGACCGCTGGGACTCTCCGTCCGAGTGAGACTGAAAGAGGGCATGAGCACAGCTCAGTAACACACAAAGCAAAAAGAGAGCGAAATCCTCCTCCGGCGCGCCGCCGCGTTTTGGAGATGTCGCCATTTTATCAATACTGTGGCAATCCACACATGCTGCACAATTTTTTTTTTTAAACTATCTTTAATCCTACTAATGCGCGCGTGCCAAACGGTCATTTTACGCACGCCGGATGATCCATGCATTTGGAAACATAAACAGGGCGTAAAGCTCTCACCATCGGTGGGTGTTTCGAGTCCAGTGTGCAGCGCGGGGCTCCCGGTTTGCTCTGCTGCTCGGAACAGATCACCTACAAGAAAACGTGCAGCAAACGGCAGGTCTTCATCAGTTTCCCGATCTCTACTTCAGCTGATAAATCCTCTGGAGACATTTGCGGACAGCTCTTCAGGGCGACTCCTATATAAAGTAGTCCTGACAATAAACCCCGCTTAAAACTGTTAAAAGGGCCCCCGCAACAAAAGGCATATTTTAATGAAGCTATTTCAATTTGGATTGATTTTTCCCTGCCCTTAAACCCGTGCCTCTCAGAATAATAGTATTTTCTTCGCAATCCAGGACACCAGAGGGGAGGGAGGGGGGAACAACTACCTGTAATTACAAATAGCTCGAAACGCTGTGGATAAGAGGGACCCGGAGTGTCAATTTCAACTGTCAATCAGGAAAAGGCAACGGGTCACCCACAGAATTGCAAATTTGATTTTTAATGGCTGTAATTAAAATCTAATTCTCTTCAGGCGGACTGGGAGCGCTGGAGAGAGGCTCGCGGACCGCAAATCACGCTATTCATAACAGAGAGGCGTGTGCCTCTTCACAGCGGCTGGCGCGTGCAGCTGATCTCAGTACACAAGCGGTGATTCTTGTGACATCACAGAAAAGCAGAGGGGTAAAAAAAAAAACGGATCTCACGCACGGTGCTGCTGCGGGATGCAAATAAAACCGAACTGCGCATTTTTTACCCGAACGGACAGGCGTGATCCGGAACGATAAACGGTTTGTTTACCAAAACACTCCACCTCAAAGGCTGCGTGCGTGCATCGTTCCAGCGCATAGGATGTATGTCATCACACAAACGAAAGCTTGGTTTGAACTAAAAGGCCCTAAATGCAGGGGGTAGGACCACTTTTTTAACCTTTTTACGCACAAATAGTTCCCAAAGTATTAGTACCTGCTTCGTCGGAATGCCCTCGGACAGAATCTTGTTTCCCTCTGAAAGAGGGGACAAAACTTCATTTTTCCAGTACATGAACCCCTGGAGTCTCACAGCGCGCGGTGTCTCCAAACTCGGTGCCTGGAATCAGGGGAAGAGTCGGCGCAGGGCGTCAAATCCCGTATCATCCGTACCGTGTATGGACTCAGGTGGAGACCGGCTTGGTTTTAACGCAGACTGTTTTCTTTCCCTTTAACGCTGCACGCGCAACAGAACTACCGAAAAAGAAGCCAGACACAAAACGAGGGGCTGCTTGCCGCTTTTCAGAAAGCATTTAGAGCAGAAAGGTTTCTTCCTTCGCCCCCCCACTCCCCCTCCCCTCCCAACCTCTCTGCAGTTTGGAGAAGGATTCTGTCTGCAGGGAGCTGATCGAACGGAGGGGCAGGCAGCGTTTACTCCGAGGCTTCGGGAGAGATTTGGAGACCAGAGCGCAAAAAGGCAGAGAACCAGAGTGTCTCCGCAGAGCTGCAGTGAAAGTTTGCGCCGCTCTCCGGCCTGCCTTATAAGAAGGGGGGAGGGTGAGGAAAGACTTTCAGATGCGTGAGAAGGGAGGACGCAGTTTGGAACAGTTGTGACAGAAACTCACTCAAAGTCTGCAGCTGCATGTTTCATATCTCAAATATTCACAGCAGCGCACACGGAAGTATTGATGTTTACACTCCTGCCAATCATAAGCTACCGGAAACACACAACTCCCGATGAGTGCGCAGGCATCAACGCAAAGATTCCATTTGTGCGTGAGCCCTTTTGAGACGTTGACCATTTCTTATTCACATTTAGTTTTTCGTTGAAGGCCTGCACGTTAACACAAATGAGAACGGTGCTGATCATAATGCAACAGGACAATTTGAGACTGGACTTATTCAAATTCCATAAGGAAAAAAATACCGTAGCAATCCATTCATTAAAATCCACATGAAAAGCACAGTGCAGAACAGCTATTTAATGATAACTACTCTTGCGTTTTAAATAAATTAAATTCACATTTAAAACGCATAAAAAGGCCCTAAAGAGAAGGAGTCTATAGTTTGCGAGATAGAAAAAATAACCTTGTCTTTATATTTTTTCTTTCATTCTATGTGTTATGTCTCTGTAACTGTTGTTTGCACGATTAAAGAAATAAAGTAATTTAAGCCCACGGTGCACGACTTCATGAACATCTAAAGACTACCGTAAATCTTTCCAAAAACCTAGGGATCTTTAAACGAAAGGAAAGACTGGTAATAACAGCATAGGCTGCTCCACTACTGATCCATCGAACAGTCCGAAAAGATCCCGCAAATATGCGCAAAACGAGTCAGAAACCATAAAATAAAAAAAGGAAAGAAAATGAAAACTTATTTAATGCGCCTCCAAGAAAGGTCCGTTTCCACCGAAATGTGTTTGAGGCCTTTTATTGATCACAAACACGTTGAACCGGTGGATCATTTCACAACATATAAATTCCATGAACGATTTGCTGACGTTAAGAGGTAGAATTTAACTTCTCCCTTTAAAATGTCTTCTTTCTGTGCGGATTCCAGTCCTGCTGCAACAATGGGATGTGTGAGGTAAACCTGCTCGTTGGCTGTCAGAAAAACTACCTAGTGGGCAACTGTGCCCCCAGGTAACTAAATCGCATAGAAAAATGTATTTTTTTTTGTTCCCACTGCAGGTTGAACCAGATGAAAAACAAAACAAAACTGAGCTCTCAGGTTAAAATACCATGTTCAACCATGACCACAAACGGAATTGAAAACCAACCCTTAAACTAAATGTTTCACTGCAGCAGTATGAGAACCAACTAACGGTTAGGGCTTATTACAGGGACTGCACACATTTTAGAATGCATGCAATATTTATTATCTCTGGGGCAAAAAGAAAACTGAACATCACCATGCAAAAAAATAGCAAACACTGTCAGCCAATTATCACCAGTATGCTTATTGCAGTTTTTCTTAAAAATACATTTCATATGCTTTTATGGGCTCGGATGAGATGAAGGTGGATCACCTTTTAGTAATCCTTTTGATTATAAAATCTATGGTCTGGGAAACTTTCTATTTATGACTCATGCCATTGAATCTGCACAGCCAAGTGATAGAAACACATTGGAGATGTGGTCATTAAACTTTAATTGAAAAATTAAAGTAATAAAATCAGAGCCTCGGAAAATAAGCAAAAAAAAGTATGTGAATGAAACCAATAAATCCTGAATCCTAAGCGAAGGGGGAAAAAATACAACCAATACATTTTAAAAAAGCTAAATAAATAAAATACTTAGACGATAAGGGTCACAATGTGGCTTGTAGCTTACTATTTTTATTCTACTGGTACAGGCCGATGGCAAGTCTTGTAAATAAGGTCGGACTGAAAAGTTAGGCCTCCAAAAATTCTTTTCTGAAATATCCTGATTTCCAAATATGAAGATGTGAACCACAGGCCCCTCAGCGGCCTGTTAGCTGAGTATTGTGTGACTTGCAGCTACATGAAAAACCTGCATAAGTGACAACGGAGGCTGAGAAAAGAGCCAACTTTCACAGCAGTTGGGTGGCGGCCATGAGTCCGACTGAGTCACTGCAATGAGAGTGTGGCCTGAATTAACCGGCCCCTCTTAAAAAAAAAAAAAAAAAAACATTTTCAGGACTTCATCATGATCATCACCATCATTACGATCATTGTTAAAATCTGGCTGATGTTGTTGTTTCGCTGCTTCGGCTTCCAAATCACCCTCTCTGATCCCAGGTGTGAATAGTCTGGAGCAGAAACAGTCTGCGTGGAGGTGGGCGGCTGTAAACAGGGACAAGTAGGGCTCCGGGAAAAGGGGAGGATGGGTCATCTCCTAAACTTTCGGAAGGGCCTGCTCTGGTTACTGTGGTGCGATTTGGAGTAGGGCTCCCAGCGCTTCTTCTCCGGTGGCTTGTTGTAAACGTAGGCCGAGGGGCCCGAGTAGTTATCGTCGGGATTGTCCTCCATCATCTGGAGCTTGGCCTCGATGGCACGAATCTTAGCACTGGTGCTAGAGGGGGGGAAAAAAAAACAAAAGCAGAGAGAGAGGATTTAAAAAGAGAGGATGAGGAGGGAATGAGAGGATGAGGGACATGGGGGGGGTCTGTTGGCGCTCATGGCGCAGGAGATCAACAGCCGTGCTGGACGGACAGCGGAGAAAAGCTTCCATTTAAATGGTGGAACACAACATGTAGGAGCAAGTGAGGGTAGATGGCAGGAAAAATTGTAGTGCTTGAGAGGGAGAGTGAAGGAGGGAATGAGTAAGTGTGGGAGAGAAGTATCTAGAAAGGAGCAGAATGAAAGAAGAGTGCGGGCATCAGGGGAAAATCAGAAGTTTGCATTTCCTCTCATGTGCGGCGTGGAGAGAATGATGTTGTGAAGTGAAGTTTACACTAGAGGCAAAGTGTGCAACCTTTTCCACAGAAGAACCTGATAGCTGACAGTTTGGGACTCACTCAGGACTGGATTGGTTTGAGCAGACACTTCGCACCACGCGCCGGCCTGAAACAGGCTCCATTTGGTTGTTGCGTACACGGCGTGAGTGTGTGTGAAAAGGGCTGCGCGTGGAGCCACATTAATGGAACATCTTGGAATTTGCTTTGACAGTACTTCAACACTTACACCCAGATGGTTCTGGAGCCAGAGTGTGGGTCCAGCTGCACTCAGATGAACTCAGCCTGAGCTGTGGTGAGAGCAAAAAAGCCCACCAGTTCTCTTGTTACAACTTCAGGACCAAGCCTGAGGACAGTGGGGGATATGTTAGCGTATTTGTGCTGCCTCAGTTAAGTCTCAGTGTGCTGAAGTGGCATCTGACCACGTCTGAGGTATAAAAGCTGAAGTCTGGAAAGTTTCCACCTGGCCCTTGCAGAGTAAAGTGAACGAGGAGCTTTGATTCTTGGTTTTAAAAGCTTATAGAAATTCCTGCAAAAAGCCACCAAGTTCAGATGCTTAAAGAAAAATGATACTTTAACAGTTACTGTTTTGTTCAAACTTCTCAAAGAGCAATATAACGCTTCAAAAATGTTTTTTTTTTGGTACAAACTAAAGCGATTAAAAAGTCAGTTTAGTGCAGTGGAAGTTGTCTGAATTGAGTATGATTTCAGTGGCCATGCTATTTGTAACGAGTAATAAGACAAATGATGACGTGAGTGAGAATCCCACCCATGACCTTTATAATGAAAAGCCTGCACCTCACCAATTAAGCTAACTAGCACTTGCTGAACAAATACACACGTTGCACGCTTAATTTGCTCAAATTATGGGGATGCAGCCAGACGCCCGTCCAAATAAATTCACCGCGTGACGTAAAATAGAACAGCAGGTCAAATTTTCGTGTACATTTTTATGAATGGCAAGAACTGTCCGTTTTTATTTCAGTTCAATAACGCAGAGTAACTACTGTTTGCAGACAAAGTGGAAATAAAAAGGCTTGCTCTTATTTTAAAAGACAGGGAATTTGAAATGTGGTCATGACCACGCTATAAATAACCATGAAACGCTAAAACAGAGCCGCAGCACGGCCGCGATGATGACATGATGCGTTTGACATGGTAAAACTACGGAAAAATAGTTTTATGAGTAAACATGTTAAAGTGAAAGCAGCATGTAAAAAGCAAAAATAAGTTAAAACGGTGAGCGTAATGGTGTCGGTGTGTGTTTGGTGCCAACCTGAGGTGGCTGGTTGTTATGGATCCTGCTTCTCCTGAGCCACTGCTCGACGGCTCCAGGCTTGGAGGCATCGTCTTCTCATTGCGGAAACCTTCAAACCTCTGTAAACAATACAGAGTGAGCGGGGGGGAAAAAAAGACAGAAAGAAAGAAAAAAAGAAAAAAAAAACACAGTTGGAGGGAGACAAACAAAAGGAGTAAAATAACAAGAGGGCACACACATAAGGACAGCCACACATTACATCAATAAAAAGAAGCCTTCAGTGAGATAGAAACTGCACAGTTTTACGAATTCTACGTTTATAGTAAGAAGGACTCACATCAACCTGACATTAAGAAACCATCAGACCAAACAGTAAATACAGACAGCAGCTCTCTCGAGAAGAAAAATGAGTTCTCTCCCATAAATATGAATGTCATTAAACATTTGATTTGAAAATGTTTGTATCTGTTTGAGCAGACAGTAACCAAGCCGGAGCGTGTCCAGCTCATAATCACACCCTAAGGGACGAGGAAGGATAAAGTGGGACCAGCTGATGAGCAACAACCAACATCTGCACTCATTCCTTTAAAAACCACCTTCCAACCACCTCCAACAGCCAACACAGAGTTCTTGTAACCTGTGGAGAAAAAAAAGGGGGAAAAAAAAAGAAAGAAATCATAGTCAAATAACAGTGATAATATCCAGAGCCTGCTGCAGCAGCTTCCATTAACAGAAATACAATGCTTCACAATCATCTGACAAAACTGCAGCTGGAACAGCATGAAGTAAAGTGACATGAGAGCACAAAACCATACACACCAGTTTTACATACGGCCATGACATAAACAACATGTATAGCCAAGAATAAGTGTAAAACAATGACCATTCCACCAGCCAGGACCCTTCCCTTCCACCTATTCCTAACGGCATGTGGCCGGAATGCACAGCGATCTGCATAGAGCCAGTAAGGCCATACTGAACCAGTAAACAATCCAAGCCTACGTAATGGGAAAGCCAGGACTAAATATGTCTCGTTGTTTGGTTAAAGCACAGTGTGGTAACAATCTTTCAACAGTTGTTCTATATTGTACAGCAGATGAGCAAATCTCTTAAATGAAGGCGGTGAATAAGTCATTCTTATAACCCCATTGCAGCAATGTGATAGGTAGTTTTAATAGTATCAGAAACATTTTTAATTAATAATTGAAGTACATCATGTGAGAGATAGTAAGTGATATAGTTTGCATTAAGTCAGATTTTATGTCTAAATATTCTCAGTCGGCCTTTCTGAGTCTTTTGTAGTTGTTCTAGGTAATAGTTTGAATTCTAACAGCAGAACAATGAGAAAAACATCGCCTGCTCTGGCCGGTGGAGCTGTTGCATCAGAGCAGACTGGGTGTCTGTGGAATTACTGCATTCCTGGCCTGTTTTATTATTACTAATAAACACACAGAAGCTAACTGATTAGCTTTTTGATGATTATGCATAACTTATAGATGATCTAATCATTTGCTAAACATTTACAATTTCTTGGAAAACAAATTAAATCTACATATAAGCAAGACATCCCATCTCTATCCCAAGTGCAAAAACATGCCCATTGGGTGAACTGATCCTTCAAAATTCAAGCATGGTATGAGTATGAACTGGGGCATTTTTATTGGTTTTAGCCCTGTAATGGAAACGTGACCTCCTGGCTAATGGTTCGTGGGCCTCAGCACACCTCCCCTAACTGAACAGGATAAAGCAGGTATAGAATAAATGAATGGAAGTGTTACAAATACAGTATCATATGAGTACAATAAATGCTCATATGAGTGATTTCCTCTTTCTCAAAGACATGCGATAAAGCCGAATTGCAAGCTTTAATGGCACCATGTTTTCTTTCGTACCACTGTGTCTCTTCTAGATATTTTCAATTTTTCATGCCAAAAACTGGCAGTGGCAAAAATCAGGTCGACTTGAGTCACTTTCAACACCTGGAGAACCGGGGCACCACTTCAACGTAAGGCCCTGGGCCATGTGTGGCCTCTTTAAACAAACATCACATCACTGAGGTGGGGGTGATCTGGAACTAAGTCAACACTACGAACTGAGTCACTATAAAGACCCACAACCTGTGAAATCCTCCCAGGGTGAAACCACAAAGAAAAACATGTTCAAGTATTGACTTTAGAATTTGGTATAATGACGAAACACGCTGTAGTAGCTGCGTTGGATTCTATCTTCTACTGTAAGACGCGTTTGATTACAACGGTGTTCTCACACAGCCTTTAAGCTGCGTATTTCTGCATAAATAACATCTAACAATATGTATTTGTCAAAGCATGATTAAAGACAGCCATTATTTTTGGTTGGAATATTGGACAGAGTCCAGTGCCTATGAATCTGTGAGCAGATTTATCAAACGGCGTGTTGTCTAAGAGGCAGCATGGTCGACCTCACCTCACATCTCTACGGTATCTATGTGCAAGTGTGTGTGTGCGTGCGTGTGTGTTTGTGTGTGTGTGTGCGTGCGTAGGGCGTGAGTCGTCTCTATGCAGGATATCCTTTCATCCTTCGTCAGCAGGCTGTCTATTGTTAAGTCACTGGCATAGGCTGTGCTGGGATCTCTGTGCTCTCTGTTAATAAGATCCTGCTGCAGTGTTATCAAAATAAAAACACATTCAAATGCACGATTATCATCTTAAACCTCACGTCAGATCAAAGATTTGCTTTCATCAGTGTCTACGGTCTGAGTTTTTTCTCTTCTCCAAGCCTTTTAGTGTTGTTTCTACTTGTAAAAATAGATGGTAAAAGGTTTGGACATCTACTGACTTTAAATGCATGTAGTGTAATGCATGTAGTCACTTGTTCACGTGTAGAGGGTTGTTTGACACTTACCCTCACCTGAGCGTGCGCCCAGCGCACAACCAGCTTTTTGGATAAAGCTAGCTTCCCATTTAGACACTGGATCGCTCTTTCTGCCTCCTGCCGGCATCCACACAAACACAGATTAAATGTCAGCACAAGAGAAACAGAGGGACAGATTCCTTTAAAATCAAGTCTAAAAATCAGGCTGGTTAATTGCGACAAAGTCATTAAATCATTAGCCCTCACAATAGAGAGAAAGAAGAAATAATGATGGGCCTCTCTGGAGTGTGTGTGTGTGTCTCTGTGGGAATGTGAAGCTTTGCCTAATCAAACATGGCTTTTATGCTAAATTACATTTATAAAGTTCTTTATCCAACTATGTCTACATGCAACTGTGTGTGAGTGTGTAAGAAAAACACTGACTTCCTCTGCATATTCCTGTTGGGAGGGCTTCATATCCCACTGATAGACACTAGCTGTGAAACTAGATGCTTATCATGGTCCCCAGGCACACTCCACAGCAAATACTGCCTGCTGAACCTGTGAAGCTGCGTGCACTCTGCTTACGCCTCATTATTGTCCTTCTTTTTCTAACCCTAACTCGCTCCACTTCAGTAAGCAGATGTCGGCTAGAATCCTTACAGAGATGTAATAATTAAAAATGACTAGCAATGATTTTCTTGTGGATGAAGGGGCTTTTAACCAAAAGAAAAAGCTTTACTAAAAATATATGAAGTGTGTGTAGTAGATTTAGCTAAATAAATGAAAAACGTACCTCTCTTGTGCTGAAGTTGACAAAGCAGTAGCCCCGTGGTTGCCCCTCCAAAGGCCCAGACTTGTGAAACAGGAAGTCAAACTGTTTCACCTTGCCAAACTTCTCCAGCAACTTTATGAGGTGATACCTGTCGAGACAGGAATGGTGTAAAAGGTGTGTGTCATTTTGAACGTTTGGAGGACAAAAATTGGCCCCTATCAGGCCTAATCTTGATGAACAGCGTGAAATAAGCCGTTAAACTGTCAGGTGGGCCGGCGGCTCCACAGCCGCTCTGCCACTGTTCGGCCTGTGAATCTGTCATGTGGGGCTAATGAGAATGGCAGCTTTCTCTCCTTGACACCTTTTTAGCAGCAGGCCAGCTGGTGTGGCCGGCCAGTGACAGTAAATCTCTTATTAAGACAATGCTGAGGATACAGTAGCCGGACAATGAGGGAATAAAACAGAGGAAGCCTCAAATGCCCCCCCTGAGCACCGGAGTTCTGCACAAACAACCTCCGTTGACTGTGTGGAGCTGCTGGGGACTGCTGCGCTGTGGATGACGACAGATATTTGCTCACTGAAGAGCTATGCAGTGTGCGTGTCACTGACCATCAGCAGCCATGGGAAAAGAATATTTCTCCGAGAGCAAAGAACAGAGCAATGAGTTCAGGGTCAACTTGGAGAAGATATTTACTGGGGTGTCTACGAAGGATCAGGGAAATGGTTACACACTTCAACAAACAGGACCTAAAAGATTAATTAATTGTAATGTAAAATAATACTAAAGGAGCAAGAAGATTTTCTTAAACCAAATCTTATAACACAATCTTATAATTCACTTAACCAACTGTGTCATTAATGATAAAAATGATCTGCCACAAATGAGATCAAATGTGCGATATAACGTTGTTTTAGCGGCGTCCACGGAAGCTATTGGATCTCAACGTCTGAAACAAAACTCGTAGAAATGTTGAACGCAAAAGATTTTTGGGGAGATCTCCCTATTTTTGTGCACCTTGAGTACAGCTGCTTCACAGCTCCCTTTCATCGCCCACGTAGCTCACAGTGCAGTCGCGCCGTACAGCTGTGCTCCCAGCGCTTCCCATCCCAACGCTGCGTTTGGTCATTTACATTTTTTCCTCTGTTATAATTGGCAGAGAATAATCAGCTCGGATATAATCAGCTAGTTCCAGTTGTGCAATGGGATCAAACAGCTGTGAAACCAATGTGCTTTTTAACCACACATGCAGGATTTAAAAGTGCAAAGGCCTCATATGAGGAGTTCTTTAGGCATCTTTGTTTTGTCATAATCGACTGTTTGTTTGTTTTTGCCTAAAATGAGAAGTCCAACACATCAGCAAACACCTTCCTGTGTCCTTGTGTAACTGTTCAGGCCTCAGAGTGACCTCAGGTGCTTTGTGTAACTTTTCAGAAGAAATTATTGCTGCTCTCTTTTATTGTTCAGGCGCCTGTTATTTTTAAAGCTTTAAGTGGTTTGTGTGTGTGTGTGTGTGTGTGTGTGTGTGTGTGTGGGGGGGTCACAGTAAAAGTGGCCGTATGACGTGCCCACACAATTGTGCATTCATGTGTTTGAATGGGACTCGGTGCTGGATGCTGAGGCTGGAGTGTGGATTTAAGCCACAGGTTGTGCTAATGTCTTCCACCCCTCTACGACTCCCCGGAGGTTTGTGCAGGCAAGCGAGAATTTCTGCTTTTCCCAGACAACACCCTGCACGCCTCCCATGTGGACGCGGCTCATCCTGCACCACTCGCACATACACAGAAAACTCTTTCGTGGCTGTTCGTCGGATCGGCCATTTTTCTCATGCTCTGATAGGTTCACTTTAGTCTCAGAGCGCAGCGGGCCAGGGGATTCATTGATCAGGGAGCAAGACCGCATTCCTTAAACTAAACTTATCTATCATAGGAGTTTGGTGCTTGCAGAGCCAAACGTATTGATGCTAACCCCCCCCACCCCTCTCCAAGTAAGTCACTAAAGAGGAAAGGACTGTTTTCGTCCAGCCAAACACAACTACTTTAATTGTTGCAATATATAAAGTCGTATCTTCTGGTGATGCTGTACAGCCACGTTCTATTGCACAAGTGTTATTTTTGAGACAGATTATATAGCAGACACTCCAAGAACATTTCTGGATGCGAGCCGGCTGAACCACAATGGGCTGCTCCTCCTGGGGGTTGTAAAAACCACCAGAGGAAGAGGGGGAAGACAAGGAGGAGGAAAGGGAGGGAAAGGTGGGCAAAGGGAGAGTAAAGTTCAGGGAGGGGATGTTGACTGCAAGGTGAAAGGTGTAGGAGGAGGATTAGGATAAAGCAGAAGAAAGGAGGAGGTGAGAAGCCAGGTGAGAGAGATACAGGAGCTGGGAAGCAGAGAGGAGGAAGGAAGGAAAAGGGGGAGGCGCGAGTCCAGTCCAGAAAAAGATAAGACAAGAAGTTTGGTTGGGAAAACTGCAGGTCAGAAGAAACTTAGAAGAAGGGGGGTGATGTATGACTTTCTGGCAATGCAGCTACAGTCATGTGGTGAAAATAAAAAAATCAGGTCACTCTCTTTAATCTGGTGTTAAAACAAAAAAAAGAGGAAAGAAACTGGGCCTTATCAGGTCAGAAACAACATGTTGTGTTTTAAATTGAGTCATTAGCTTCAATTTCCCCCGGGGCTATAAATAAAGTGTTTTACTGTTTCTCTTTTTCTGTCTCCATTCTTTTCTTCTTTTTAAGAGAGGCTGAATGGAGAAGCTCACCGATGTCTCCAATGGTCTCCTGTATTGGGCATCATTGAGGTGTCGAATGAGCCAGTTTCAGCTTTGCACGTCAGACTAATAGCTTCCCGTTGGGCTACAGAATTCTTTGGTAGACAGGGGAGTTCAGCTCTGTGGCTGCAAAACAAGCCCAAATAATCAACCTGCCACCTCTGCGCTCCACAGCTTCTCCTGGAATGCTGCGTTTGCCAGCATTAATTATCAAAAATAATTAATGACACATGTAGCTCTTCATCAAGAAGCGAGACTTTCTTTTCACAGGACGGTGTAAAAGAGCACTGGGGAGAGCTTAGGTTGGTTATAAAACACAGATCCACAATGTTACATGTAACATGAGGTCCAGAGGGGGAACAAAGAGGAAGAGGGTGATGGATTACTACCAAGCAGGCAAAAGTTTAAAAACATGAATATGTGGTGAAAACTCTAGTTCCACCTGCTTTACGAGGTGTGTGTACAGAAGGAAATGTCTCACTTCATTTTCTTTTTTATACTGAAAACATAAAGGATATGCAGAATCGTGATTAACCGTTTGCTTCTTTTGTTCGTTATTTTCCAAATGGTTGCTTCCGGCACAGAATGAAGATCAAAAGACAGAATGTTTTTTTTTTTGGTGTTGTTTCTTTTATATTGGAGAGCCAGTTTGGAGAATATATATAATACTCTTCCCACAAAAAAAGCTTGTCATCAATCATAATATATGCCAGCTAACCTGGAAGTCCTATAGATGGCACATAATGAGCTAAAGTGAAATGCTGCCCTCTTACATCATCAAATGGAAGTCCAAACAGAGCAGAAATGGGCGGGACCTCTGAGGATTGAGCTTTATGTGCATCTACTCTTGTACATTTTGATCTCAGCGGTTTGAGGTCTGAGCGAACGGTTTGGGTTCTCTGTATCTAAACACCTGATGCACTAGTGGAGCACATTGTTGTGCTGGGGGGGGGGGATTTTGGCTCCCACGTGGGAGGATGCTAAGTGCCTGGTCTGAAACAATATCTAAGTTCCGTAGGTGGTATGTGTCAAAGCAGCACGATCCAAGATTTTCCCAGCAGAACATGACGCTCGCTGTCACCTCTGAGCCTTTGGGACACTTGATGGGTTTCTTTTTTCTTAAGAAATTTTTTAATTGGGGAAATACTACTTTGAAAAGTCAGAGTAATAATCAATAAAAAAATATTTTTTATTTTTTAAAACAGTCCAGTGGAAGCACTGATTTTTTAATGATTTGTTTGAAATTGGAACACGGGTTGACGATGTGGACCTGTGTAACACGAGGACTGCATCTCAGGCCTACATTCCTTCTTAACGCTGAATTTGGCTGACCGGGACAAACAGAGGGAGTCCTGAGAGCTCCATCCTGGAGCCAATTAATCTTCCCAATCAGCAACGGGGGCCACGGGCATTTCTCTTGTTTTCCCTCCATACTGTGAAGTGGTGGCCTATTCAGGGAGAAGTAGAGCAGAGCCGGGGAAGGGGAAGGAAACGCCTGTCTAGACGCCCACCAGAACTGTGGCCCGTACATTCTCCAGGAGCCCCCACGGGCGCAAAAACACACCCCTCGCCCTGACGAAAATACCTCCCCTCGGTTCCAAAATACTTTGACATGTACTTATCAATCAACCGCACGCACGTCCACATCTCAGTGTGTGGGAGCATGATAGTGTGAAATGGCGTTCACAGACCTCTGTGTGTCACAGCCTGCAGCTCAACCAGTTGCCATCATAACTTCAGCTGTGCATTTAGGTGTGCTTATACACACACACGCAAAGACACAGACACACACAGACACAGCTGTAGGTTGACACAGAGAGAGTAAACAGGGCAGGTGAGTGAGGAATGATTGTTGCTCCTTAGCAGAGCAGGTCTCCGCGCCTCACTGCCTCCCTTTCACACACCCGGCCCTGTCTGCTCTGTCTCAGCCTTTGACACCCTCACGCACAACACACACTGTTAATTAATCATACGCGTACACACAATATGTTGCCTCTCTAAGAGTCAGACCCTGGCAGGTTAAAATATGATGCCTGAGGTTCCTAACATGGACTAAACTGTAGCAACTTGGTTAGTCATCAACTAACATGCATGAGAAATGAGCTCTTCATTCAGCCATTCTTTAAAGCCAGCCATCATGTGTATTAAACACCACGGAATTTGTACTTTTTTCCTGGTTACCCCTATTAAATACGAAAAAAATGGGAAGGTTAGGAAATTGGTAAAAATAATTAATGATACATGTAAATGGGAAAAAAATGGGAAGTTATTTTTTCAACCTCGCGCCGTGTTGTCATTCATTGCTCTGATGCTAACGTCTAAAACCAACATGGGTTAATAAGGCAGCTGTACTTGTTTCCAACTACGTGAAGAAAACTCGGCCTGGCTGAGACCAGAAGTGGATTTACTTACTCTGTGATTTTGGGATCGATGTTACCTATCCACAAGCGGTTTCCGTCATGAGCCATGCTCTCTGAAATAATGGAGGCATTTTCGACAGTCTCGGCGGCAGACGACATGTGTTCTCTGTGGGCAGAAGAATAAAAGCGCTGTTTACCAAGACAACGGGCAGAGGGTAATCAGCACCGAGCAGAGAAGACAATGTTGAAGTTTTGGAACGGACAACAATTCTACAGAAAAAACAAATCAGCTCAAAGCGTACCTCTGTTCCCTTTGGCTCATAAATTTCACCAGAAAACCTTATGGAAGTAATGAGAACTGAGCAGAAAGTCTGGCAAGAAATTTGACCATGAACATTAAGTGACCAACATTTTGAGTGACCAATCAAGCAGTGCTGCTTATATACAAGGGCCAGCATGTAAATAGCTATTAAAGATAAGGGTGTTAGGGACATGTAGAACACAGAAAATACTTACTAATGTGATCATTTATAGTAAATAGACAGGGCAAAGATTTTCTGTAAGGAAGCAAAGCAGGATCTGAAATCTATCTCAAAGCAAAAACAGCAAAACTATCAAAACATCCTAAATCATTGCCTTTAAGATGGATCAACAGACACTAGAATGACAATTGAACTAAAATAATAGAGTTGTAGGGGGGAAAAGTGTTGGTGTTGGTAAAGGTGATTGGAGAAATGTTTGGTTAGAGAGAATAAAGTCACATACTGAGAAATACTGGTATTTAACAAGAACAAAGTTCATATTTAGATGAAGGGATTAATACTGAGACGTTCAGCCTAAATCTTCATTAGGATAAAATCAACAACATCGTTACAACAGTATAGATCAACTAAAGAGAGAGAAATTACTAGCAGAAAGGCTAGTGTGAACTGGTGATTATTTTTTCTTTACTAAAACAAACTTATTTGTAGATCTAAATAATGACAGAAAACTGAAAATTAAGTAAAGGGAATTAGAATGGGAGCTTCCAAGTATCAAAATACATTACGATTAAGTAACAAAGGGACGTTATTAATATCATACATTGCGTTTATGTGTAAAACAGTGAAGGTAAAAAAACCTAATGGGAACAGATATATAATCTATTTATATTTTGGATATGATTTAATAGCAGTGAGCTACCTATACACTGTTTTCACAAGCTCCCATGGTGTCATAAACACTGAGTTTGTGTTCAAAACTTTTCTTTAAAAGACAGGATGAACAGATAGAAAAGTTGCTCAGAGTAAAAGTTGCCTTAGCTGGTGACAGGCTGATCGAATGACTGCGTACTTGTTTCATGGTGTCAGTAGATTTCATAGTGTCTAGTTCCTAAATAGTGTCTAGTTCCTAGGACCCTCTGTTCAAATGAGCTCAATCCATCATATTAACATACCGTTTAAAACCAGAAGTGAGTTGTAGCATGTAGCTCCCCTTATACCCGTTTACCTTGCTATGTCAAACGTCCTCTTCGGTAGCGACTCCTTTCACTTAACGTGTGGTCGATCCCACTACTGGGATGCTTTAGCGACGTCAAAACAGCATTGTAATCATTTCAAACAACCGTTTTCCTTCCATATAACTTACTAAGGTAGCTAGCTCCGAAGGAAATCAGTCACAGTCCTAACGCCTGACAACAAAGGCGCAGGTTAATGTTGTAAGACGTTTGACGCTCTGTGGAATCGAGTGGAAGCGGTTGTTTTAATGTCTAGTATCTCCCGTAATATTTGTCTGCAAGTGCCTGACAACTTTATCAGCTAACTCCGACCATTCGGTATGTCCCATACAATGTTTCAAACAAACCTTTGCTGACAACAATCCAGACTGGCGCTTGTTGATGACGTTATATGTGTCAACTTTTTTTTTCTAATGTTTCCAGGAGTAGCTAGCATGCGTCTTCTGTAAAGACCCAACAGCTTTGAGTAAGTATGATTTGGGGAGTAATTTAGACTTTCGTTTCCCATTTTATTAAGTTTGAACGCAACTCTCGAAAAACATTTTTAGAATTGCGTGTATGTGTTTATTTGGCGCTCGGTTTAAAGAGAAGACGAGAAAGACCTGCACGCACACCCCCAGTCAGTCGACCTTCACTTAGCTTTATTCACACAGTTTTGTAACTATTTCACTACATACCTCTTTGTGGATTTTATATTTCTGTGCCTTTAAATTATTTTCGTTGTTCTTATTATTTTAACTTTATAACGACGACATTGCAAAGGGACCATGTGTTTTTGAAGCATTGGACTAATCAGTATATAAAGTTAATTAAAATTATTAATTCAAAGCAAAGAGATGTGCTAATAGTTTAAAGATATAAGGATATTCTATCCCTTGGGACCTTGGGAGTGTTTTCTGACCTCGCACAAAAAAAATACACAATTATTTAATCATAATAATAACAACAATGATTTTAATGATAATAAAAATAGCTGTTTTTATTTTTTATGAACTATGATAATAGTGATAACTTATTTTGGCGATTTCAGTTGTAGATTTAGACTTTAGAAGGAGAGATTATTGATCATTTCAATCTCAGTAGTTGTTTAGATTGGGGAGTTATAGTCTCATTGTCAGATAAGGTGGAGCCATGCAGAACATCATCAGATACTCTACAATCTTATTTTCTGAGCTGAACAGAGGGAACATGCAGGCTCACCAGCTGCTGATGTTGCTGGGAGAAGCAGGGGTGTGTCTGCAGCTGCTGTGAAATCTGCAGGATATGACTCTACAGTATCCCACTGAACACCTGTGCCTCGCTTTTTCTGCTTGATTTCCTCTTTAAAGAGATCTGTCACCGTCCCACATCTTCTTCCATCAGCTCTGCCACATTGTGGCGTGTAGCGTTGGCTTGTCAGGAAACCTGCCAGCCGTGGATACCTTTTATGGGTTGGCATTGGAGGCGATAGTTTGATGTCTAGCCTAAATATTTCTATCAAAACATGTTTGGATTCTGGTACCTTTCCTCAGTATTCGATTAAAAAAAGGAGTTAGTAGTTTGGTTGTAGCTCAATAGTTGTTTTTCAGATTTTTTTTATTTCTTATGAGCCAAAGATGAGTTGTGTCTTATTTGTCAAATGCAAATAACACACTGGTGGTTGTCTAAAAGGTTAGTCTTTTGTACCTTTTGATTTACAAAATTTCTGGCAGTAAAAACAAATACTGTATGTAGAATTAAAGTATATGAAAATATTTTGTTTAATAGACTAATCTTTTTTGAGAGTGTTACAAAATCTGATTTGTTGTGACTGTTGTTCAAAGTTCTGAAAGTGCAATGCATAATACGACATATTGGGACCTTAAGAATCAATTTACAATGCCCAGTTTCCTCTTTTCAACCATACATCTAACTAAAATATCAGTTTCTTAAATGACTTGATATTTTTGTGAGTCTTCATGGTGGAGCAGGGAAACAGCTTCTTGGTTGCTACTTGGATGAATTATTTATTCGTTTTACAATTTTGGCTTTAAGTAAAGGATCAGTTGTTCAAAATTCTGCAAGACCAGATATTTAGAAAAAAAAATCCTTTCGTGTCAGTAACTGATTGATTTAAACAGCAGGGTGGTATGTCTCCCTCTCACAGGTAATAGTTGTAAACGCTCATCAGATAATAAGAGAGTGTCAGTCAGGCAGCAGCACAGCAGAACCTGTTACAGCCACTGACTCTGAAAGACAGACTTTAGTTTCTGTTTGTCTGTGTGGTCTTAAATAACTTGGCAGTCATCCTCATTTTTGTGTGCACAGAGTCAGTGTCACAGTCGAGAGATCGTTTGCAAGGTGGGTGTAATCATTCCATAGAAAGGCAGGGGATGTTCTCACTCTCGGTTTCTTTTTCTTTTTTTCTTTTTTAATGGGAAGTTCCCATTCAGGAATGCCCAAACTACTGTGCGTGGGCTCAGCATGGACACGGTTTTATCATTTAGAATTGCACTGCAGGGGAACGTGTTGCGTGTCTGTATGTAGTGTAACCTGTAGCTGTGACACATTCAGGTAATCCAGATCATGAAATTTGAATAGATGAGCTATTATGCTCAGTTAAACATTTATTAACTATTTATCTGCTTTTCTTTATTCTACCTGACTTTATTTCCCTAATCAAACCAATTGAAACAAAGTATACTGTTTTCTAAGTTTTTCATGCAACAAAAGAGTAATTCATCTGGAGCAACTTGATGCTGCGTTGTCATTAATGAAATGTGGATGATTTCGATATACACTCTGTGACAGAACATCAATTTCCTTTTTTTTTTCTTTCTGTCGTCTCTTCCATTTTACTTTTCAAAAAAATTCCCCTCACCATCAGGATTGCGTGGAGATGGAAATGTGTTGTGGCATTTCTTTTTACATTAGCTCCTTTTGTGTAGGGAAGTTTCAGTAACATTATTAAGCCTTTTAAAAATGAAGAAGATATTCCTGGTTCCTCTTAAAAATGTTCATACATGAGTCAGTCTCATAAAGAAACTATGTGTCTATAAAAGTGATTTATATCTCCAAAGATAAACGCACGTTAATACTGGGAAAGAAATCCAGCAGGTAAAATGAACCAATTATCATCATATATTTTAAGAAGAAAAAAGAGCTCTTGGTACAGTGACAAGTTAGAAGATGTAGTTCTACCTCCTGCTGGCTGATATGAGCCATTACCTCCCTTTTGCTGAATAAAATGATTTCTGAATTCTTGTCTTTCCTATGTTTTCTTTACTCTAATCAATCCACTATCACTTACATTTCCCTCTTTGGGTTATTGGTAGCTATGGCTTTGAATCATCTGAGCTTGCTACGGCCTCTTCTTCATCCGTCCCTGGTGCGACATGTCAGGTGTCCCCTCCTGGCCTCGCCCAGAGTCATCGTCAGACCTCCTTTGTGCCTCGGCACCTCCCAGCAGCCTGCTGCTGCCTGCACCCGGCTCTATGCCACCAAGAAGTCAAAAGGTCAGTGGAAAAAATCACAAACTCTGAAAATCTTCCACAGTTCAGCTGGCACACATGTGAGCCTGTTGATTGGATGTTATTTGTCTTAGATATTAGTCTCAGTCTTCTCCTCTCTCTTCTACTTCCAAGCGAAGGCAAAGGGCCAGTCGGCTAAGGTGAACATTAATTCGGCTCTGGTGGAAGACATCATCAGTCTGGGTGAAGTGAAGGAAGACATGAGCGCTGTTCTCGGCGCGCTCAAAGATGACTTCACACGCAGCCTCAGCATCAGAACCTCGCCAGGTAGTCGGCGTGTGCTTCTTTTGGACTCTCTCTGACATTTCTGCCTGCATCTGTCTCCTTACATCACTGACACACTCATTGTGTGTCTCGCGTGTTACCATTGAATTATTCATAAGTTGCTCGGCAGCAAACTATCCACAGAAAGTGAAAAGAACGTTTAGGTAGGTACACTAATATAAACTAATATAAACTCTGTAAAATTAAGTTAAGCATGAGTTATGCCTTTTCTTTTTTTAAACGTCACACTTTTACCATAAAGTGTGACCCTAACTTTCTGTGAAAAAAGCATTGATTCTGGTGTTTACTGCCCCAGAAAATGTTTAAAAATTAAAAGTAATGTTTTCCAACCTTTTTTCTAACTGTAGATGTTAAAAGGTTAAAGTGGCACACAGATAAGTTTGGGTTTGCATTTTAATGGACGAATGAATAATTAGTGGATTGCAATGGGTTTTTTTTTTCTGCCAAGTAATTCTTGGGCTCAGACTTGACACAGAGATACTGTTCAATTTTAGACAGGAATTAAATGACCCCAAAAAAACACTAATAGAAAAACAGAAAGCAGTAATTTTAAGTACAATACCTTCATCTTCCATTGAAAAAAGGAAAAAAAGAAAACAGGCAAAGAAAAAAATACAGATGATACTTAAAATGTATTTTAAGTATCTGTCAAGACAATGCTAATTAAGATTGTGTTGTAGCAGGAATATTCAGACTTTTTGGAAGAGTCATGATTCTACAGTGTGAGTAATGCAATTTGGAAATGATAGGAGTTCATAACCTAAAGATAAATCATGAAAAATCCTTGCATTGCAGACTAAACATGAATTTTTTCCTTGACTTGTTTTGGACTGAAGTGCAGATCTAAAGATTTTTTTATACTTGTGAGTATAATTTTATTAATTTACGAAAACTCTGACTTCACAGCATATCCTGTATTTTGTGTGTTCCTCAGACTCACAAATGGCTCAGGGGCTTAATATGAGGAGATCCCCATGTGACCTTACCTTGACCCGGCTTTGGCCTATGTTTCCCCAACTATATCCAGGCCGTGACCCTTTGTCTCTGCGTTCTAACAAATACCAGCAGAGTTCTGGGAGTCGGGGTTGGGGTGTGTAATGGAAGCTCCCAAAGGACGAAGCAGCCGCCACAATCCCACTTCAAACTGAAATACTGTTGATTATTGATTCTTTTTTTAAACTTTTTTTTTACTTTCAGAAAAGCCTTTTAAATAGTCTTTACCTTTTACACAAAATAGAGGTGACATTAAAACCTCGAAATCAATTGAGCATACTTTTCCCTTTAATGATTAACCCCTGAGAACCCTGGCTTCCTTTTTTTTTTTTCCCAACCATTTTTTCCCTATCTCCATTCATAACTCAACACTTCTGAGTCATGCTCTGTGTTCAAACCCTCCCTGGTTGCTCCGGTCCAACAGTTCTCTGCTTCATGGTTCTGCTATGCTCATGTGACATTTTTCAGAGTTTTCTACTTAATTTTTAATTAACATTTCTTTTTGGGACACAAAGAAACATTTGTTTGCTGGGCAGATCTCTTTTCCATCTCAACTCTTCTCTTTTACTCTTTGTTTCGTCTTTTTTGCATCCATCCCTCCATTCTGTCATGCCTCCTGTCTTTTCCCTCAATCCATCTATCCGTAACTGCTCTCCTCCGGTCCCCTCATTCCTCTCTCCTCTGTCCAGCTGCACAGTAATCCAGGGAGGCAGCGGGACTTAGAGCTGACAGCAGAGATGAGATGGTGAAATGACGTCAGCTGTCCGAATGTGTGCGTGTGTGTGTGTGTGTGCGTGTGTGTGTGTGTCTCATGCAAGAGTGTGTTTGTTCCACGAACCTCTCATCTGGCAATCATTAAACCTATAAGAGAGTAGTGTGCGTTTGTGTGGTAGTGACATGTACTGCCGTGTGTTGCTATGAGGGCTTATTTGCGTCTATTTTTGTTTGTGTGCGTCAGTAGTCAAACGCACAGGAGGAAATCAGACATACTGATTCATGAGGGATCAGGGATGCTTCCATCATCCTCTCATATGGGGGCATGGCTAAGCAACCAGGTCTATTTCCATGTATACAACAAATATTGTAAAGATCAACATTTTCAGCTTGACAAACATCTAGAAAGTGACTATTCACTGGATATATAAAATATAGATATTTTCATGAAGTCGGCTCTTGGGGTGGTAGTCCCAACAGTGTAGGGCATTTTGACACAAGAAACTGCACAAGTTGAATACAAAATCAAATACTGCAAAAAGTAGTGAGTACATATTTAGTAACTTTTTGTTATTTATCTTTTAGAGCTTTGCAAATCTTAGCTTTTGTTCAGGTGTGTTTAATGATGGTTCCTCTGAATATAAGTGGTCTGTGTTTATAACACGTTTATATCAAAACTGTATTAAAGTGGCATTTTTGTCATTAGCAAACGGCCACCAACCAAAGGTCTCCTTGTGAAGTGTCCCCGTCAACTGGGCAGCCTTCTTACAGTAGTTCATTCAACATCTACAGCAGCTCTTAAAAAGAATAAACTTTCTCCAGCAGCTTCTCTAATTTTTTATTCTCTCTGCCCATCTTTCCACCCCTTCTTGCTGCCTCCTCACCAGCCATCTTTAGTTAAAGAAATACCTCTGACTACCCTCTTTAAGCTCTTGCAGATGTGTTGATGCACAAAGACAGACATGCAGAGGGTAACAAATAGGGCCTTGGCTGGTCTGCAGGTAATCGGACATGTGAACTCAATGAGGGGAGACTGTATAATTGGCAGGCAGGTAAGACGTGTAATGCGGCTGGTATCCATGCAATCACATCATGCCAGCCTTTTTATTTCTAATATTAAGCGTCTTCATTAAATCTCTGATTGATGCATATTTTATTTTGCCCTCGAAATCAGATGATGAATTGATCTTTATAGAGAAAATTGCACCACTGGCTCACCTCCCCTTCACCTCACTTTTCCACACAGAGCACCAGCGAAGTCCCCATGGGGTAAAAGAAGGGAGGGAGTGATGTAAGGCAGAGGTGGAGAAGAAGGAAACAACTGCGTCTGAGGTTAGCCAGATGGAGGAGAAGAGAGGGACGGGTGGATGGAGCGAGGGAGAAGAGGAGAGGAGAGGGAGGGTCAGAAGTTAGCTTGTTTTGGCAAACTAACCTTTGTTTCTCTCAGTGTTGATGGTGAAAAGAGACAATAGATCATGGAAACTTTTAACAATCTGACAGTGGCCTTACTTTTTTTTTTTTTATTCTTAACATATGTAATTTGTGGCTTCTGCAGCACATTCCACTGTATGTCTGTTTGTTAGTATGAGTGAGTAAATGATCGACTGTGTTTTCATTAATCCTGTATTCAAGAGGCCCGATACCTGGATTAATGCTTAGAATATATGAGACCACCGTATCAATTAATATGTAACTGCCAAACAAGCTGTATAATGATGAATGCGTTGCTGAAAAAGTAAGTTAACAGTTGAAAGATGCATTTTATAGTAAAAAAAGAATAGTAAAAAGGTACAGAAGTCAAGAAATATTGTAACTGAATCTATAAAGACCAAATCAAATATTCATGACATGCAACCTGTGCATGCCCTGCACCTGGCAAGACCAAAACAACGCCTCAAATGTCTGCAGAGGTGAATAAATAAATTAAACCCTTCCACTGATCTGTATTTGTTTTTAGGGGCTCTGGATCACATTGTGGTGACGACTCAAGATGGGAAGTTCCCCCTCAACCAGCTGGGTCAGATCTCCATGAAGTCACCTCAGCTCATTATGGTCAACATGAGCAGCTTCCCTGAAGTAAGGCGATCACACCCGCTCACACACACACACGCACACACACACTCACACACACAGCCGAACGCCAGGGCGCACACCAGCTCAGTTTCTTCCTACCGGTATCTGTTTGTCTCATACGGAGCAGCACGGAATAACTAAGCTTTGTAAAAATAATCCAAAGCGCAGACAGATAGATGGTGCTGGCAGAAGGAAAAGTGAGCCAGACCAGAACTGGAATCCCACATCACTCTGTAAATGAAACCTGACCCGCCTCTCTCTGTGCCCTGCGTCTCAGATGCTAATTGATTGATCACTCAAGGAGCCCTTTGTTCTGGGGTGAAAGATAGCAGCGACGTGTATGTGTGCACCGCACTGTGGTCGTGTCTGTGTGTGAGTTGTCACAGATAGGAAATGACCTCATTTTACCCCTAGGTTGGGAAGAACTTGATTATTTTTTTCTCCCCCCCCCCGCCACCCCCAAGATTTGTCCAAGGGTGCGGCGGTGGCCTGAGTCTTTCTGGTAGTCTGGAAATTTGAAATCCTTTTTTGTTTTGTCTTCCTTCAGCATTATGAAATCATATACAAAATTTTGTCATTCTTTTCCGCCTTTGATATCACTGTTGATTGCACCCACTGAGTATTGATTTCCCAATGTTTCTCATATCTGCTCCACTCTCCGTCTGCAGCTGTTCATAAGGTTCAAGTTCAATTTTTTCATTTTTTTCATTTTGCACATTCTTTGTACAATGCACACTGGAAAAAAATTATCACGTGTTAATAATTAGCATCACAAATAAACTAACAATGCTTTGACTGGAGGAATTCTAGGCCAACACCAGTACAGATGTTCCAGGCGAGCTGATGTTAATACACTTAAGAAAGGTGAACAGTTTTGTGGTATTTCTGCCCTTGATCACGCTAACTTCAACTGAGCTCAAATTCTTTTACATAAATTAATCAAAAACTGTATTTTTCTAACATTTCCCATGCCAGAGTCAGTGTAATTAAAGAAGGCTTAATAACTCAGTTTTTTCACTTTCCAGTGTTTAGACCAGCAAAATGCTTTCATGACAAATAAAACCAATGGTAAATATTTTTACTTAGTTTCAACGCAAAATAATTGCATTCCCCATTTTTTGGCTTCTCCATTCACTGATCATAAAAAATGTTTGAAAACATTCTGATACCTGGCTGATATGTGTGCATTTTTTAGAAATGCCTAAAAATGCGTGTCTACACATTTCTGATGGTGATTCAGGATATGTATTTACAAGCTCAGCCCAGTTCAGCGGAAAAAGAGGTAGGAATCATGCCGCCTCGCTTTGCGTTGATAGTAAATTGGCAGCACACCCATCAGAGAGCTGCCATGTGTGTGAGCAAAGCAAACCCAATAAAACCCCTTCAGGATTTTAGAAATTACAGAAAAATAACAACAAACATGTCACAGCACACATTTATAAAAATGCTGATATGTACAGTCCAGTCCAGCATGTCGTTTAATTCTATTTTCCAATAATAAGAGGTTTCCAAAGAGTAGAATGTCCTGATCCTGTACAGGACATCTTGAGCATTGATGAAAGCAAACTGCACCCCTGCTTATCTTTGTAATTCTGTAACCTGCGTCAAGATTTAAAAGGCGTCACCCCACAGCTGTCAGAGGAATTTTGAGGCATTAACCAGATTTGATGAGCACTGCTGATATCTGAAGCGTTTTGTTCTTTTTAGCACATTCTGTCAAACAGTTTTCGGAAATTCCTTCCTGTACCTTCTGTTTTCTTATCGCCCCCCCGCTTTGGCCTGCGGTTTTGCTTGTTTTTCCTGCAGGTGAAACCACGTCACACATACATAAAACAGTCAAATCCTGGTGTTTATCAACACTTAAAATCTAGAAATCGAGTTTTCAGTATGAATCACACTGAATGTTCCCCCGTTGAGTCCTTTTTTTTTTTTATTGTCTTCTTGTTCTTTCCAGCTACCACAGACCACACACGCACCAAAAGACACACACTTCAGGTCCCACGCTGGCTCAGTGCCACACAGAGGTGTCCTCAGTACCCACAGCTAATAGGTCTATAATGATGCCTATCCATTACCGAGTACCAGTGTTTTCTATTCCCTCATTAGGAGAACAACATTCACAGCCACACTTAAATCTGGGGGGCAGTTTGGTCTTTGTGAGTGTGTTTGAATCCTCTCATTTCGCCGTCTTTACTCTGTGTTCAACTGTCCTTTTCCACACACACACACACACACACACACACACACACACACACACACACACACACAGACTCTCACGCACATTCCTCTCCGCTTGCCAGTTCGCTTTGAACCGGAGCGTTTGATGTGATACTTCAGTGTAATTTCTCTTCCTCTCCAACATATTAACCAGAACCTGCCCGGCCTTTTCAGAAGAATTCCACTCGGGTTTTTGTAACCACTGCAGTGGTCGTCTGAGAGAGGAAATGGTGATGAATTTGATGCTGAGAACAATCAAACATAGGTATGGGCCGAATCTATCACCCCACGCTCAAAGAGAGCAACTGGAGGCCTGCTTTCCGGATGATTTTAACAAAAGAAAAGAAACCTCATGAAATCATTTAATGCTCACAAATAAATTCCTTTAATCTTGCAGCCATTTTTTCCCCCAGTGGAAAAGGCCAGAAGGAGCTGTCAAGAAGGGTGAATTCGATGGAGAGGGATGAAAAAAAAAGAGTGACTAAATAAACGAGCAGGAAACTGTAAGGCTTTTCTTTCTTGTACAACATTTTTTCACCCTCAGCTAAGGAATTGTCTTGGAGCTGAAGAGTTGGAATGGTTTTAAGTCCTTCAAAGCATTCGGCCTCGTGTCCTACATGCATGTGCCCTGCTTTATGCTCCTAACACGGTGAAATGCTTGGATTGTGGACAATGTGAAGTTTCACCCACGCGAATAACTGTTTTGGTATTTATCACTAGGTTTAAAGCAGCCCTCCTTCCTCCCTGTTTTCCAACTCTCCTCATAAATGTTAACTTTTAATTAAATGTTCACCAACATGTAAAAACAGTGGAAGAAATTTCGTTTAGTCCTCTCTGTGTGGACATGCAGTGCCATGAACCTCTAACTGACATCTTTATCTGATCCATTTCTCTGTCATGTGCATACAGCACCGCTTCCTCCTCAGTGTCCAAATTTGTCTTGATACTAAATACGTAAAACTTTTTTTTTCCCCCATCACCCGTGATTACTGTCCTTTTTATAGATATTGCATCCTTGTCAGAGGTTACAACCAAATTTCATGGTTGTAGAAATAGTTTGAAAAAATAGCAAGGTGAAGCTTCTTTTATTTCATGAAAGAGAGCCGAGGCTTCTGGGGATAAAAAGGACTGTTATTAACACAGAAAATATTCAGTTGGGGGGGGAAAAATCAAAGGGAGGGAAGAACATATCGTCTTTCTTGCCTTTTTATTTAACTATTTCACTCTTTCACATCAGGGATTACTGAAAGCAAAATTGATATTTAATATAAAAATAATTGCAGAAGACTAGAAATAAGGAAATAAATGACAGCATGGCATTTAAGGTGTTATGTATATCACGAAAGGCCTGCTTTCAGCACTTTAACGTTACACCTTCCAGCTAGTGTATCCTGAAGAGATGCTTTCAGGATTTATTTTATTGTCTAGTGTGGATCAAATTCTCATTTTAGCATAATTACTGTTTGCCATCTTTGTGACTAATAATAATTGAACACAAAGCACATTTGTGTGTTTCTGTGTCCGTGTATCAAACATGAGCACAGGCAGACTCCTCGGTGGGGTCGACAGAGGTCAGAGCTCTGCCCTGCAACCTCTCAGTCCCGTCCCACGAGGCCGGGCGCCGACAGTGGCCCGGGGCACTTCCACGCAGCGTGGGATTCCCCCGACACATGTACACACACACACAACACCTTAATGACTGCCAGCTGGAGCCAGGCCACTACTACCTGCAGTCGGGCCCTGCTTTTTCGCTTCACACCAGAGCTCGAATAATAGTATTTTTCTGTGTGTGTGTTTTCCCCCAGGCCACGGCCGCGGCCACCCGTGCCCTCAGAGAGAGCAGCATGAACCTAAACCCCGAGGTGGACGGGACCATCATCAAGGTGGTTGTTCCCAAGTGAGTCCCTTTCTGACACATAAATAAGCCGGAGGGCCAGAAATGACCACCCCCCCCCGCCAGCCTCCGTTTAGCACTTTCCTTCTATACCATCTGTCTCCTTTCACTTCTTATTTTCTTTCTGCCTTTACTCTGTTTTTCTCACTCATCTCACCACGAAAACAAACTTTTGCCAGACCAGAGAGGAATTAATGATCTGGTTAGCCCGTAAGCTCATATTGAAGTACTTTTTAAACGAATTGACCTTTTTTCCGCCTGTTATTTTTACAAAGCACGCTGTTAAATTGTAACTAATAAACCGATAAAATAATCAAGCTGTTATGGAAACGAGCACAGCTCAGCATCCCGCCACCGGCTTTGTGGTTCACCCCCACTAATGTATATCCCTGCGCTCTGCAATAACTGACAGGTTTATTGACTTTTTCTCGTAGATGTATGGAGACCCCTCAACGTGTTGATGTGAGGGTGGGGTCAGTCTCTCTTTCTCCACTGTAGCCTCACCTCTCCCACCCCGTCTCTTCTCGCCTCGGCCAAATCAAACATCTTCACACAAAACAACCCGTCACTCACTCAACACACAGCTCTGCCTGTCTAAGAAAATATGTTTTGTTTGGTTTGGTTTTTTACATATACACAGCGTGCACGATAGTCAACGTGCACGTGTGTGATTGTGCGAGGGGAGCAGCAGGTGTTAGTCTGGCAGAGGAGGGACACAAGAGTCAGACAGCCTTCCCTCTGCAATCAGTCTCGGCACGCTCCAAGCCCCCATTTGCATTTCCAAAGAGAAGGCGCTCTTTGATTGGCTCTGGAATCGGTAATTAGGCCGTATTGTTTGCTGTCAAAAGACGCAGTTCTTGGATTGTTTGCAAATAATCCCCACAGCAAAAACAAGGCAAAAAAGCCAATTAAGGGCAGAAAGGAAGAGTGAAATTGGAAGGAGTTCTCTGATTGATTAACGAATTTAAAATGAATGCGAACTTGCTGGTTTATGCTCTCAGTAAGTGCTTGTTGTTTGGTGCCATGAGTCGGATCAAAAGGGATGAGATTCCATGCTAACAAGCTGTTAGCATCCCTTATTGTACAAGTGAGGATTTCACTTTTATTGATATGGTTACGTGTTTCTGATTTGGCTGCACTTGAAAATTAAAGACTATCTTCTTGTAAATTCTCATAAGATTATTTTGCTCTTTTCTGTTTTTGTTTTTTAAATACTGGGGAAGTTGTTCCATGGATATTTTGAATAAACATCATCAGTCACTGCTACCCAAAGTCCTTATTTCAGACTTCAACTGTTATCATTCATCTTGCTTAAAACAGAGTACACAGATGACTTAAAGATGCTTTTCAGCAACGCAGCTACTGTCGCTGTGGAATCTCCTCCAGCTCCGTTTCCACTGCAGGGAGGCCTGAGAAAGAAAAGGCTAGACACATGACAGTTTCTGTATGAACCAAAGCTGCATTTCAGCTGGTGTCTGTCAGTCTGTGTGTCTCCATTTCCTCCGCTTTCATCCCACACTTAAACAACACTTTTGCTTCTTTTTTTTTTTCGTGATTTTTTTAGATTGTACAAATAAGAGTAGTAAGGGGTCTGCCTGATCCAGGCTGTAGCCCGCCTCCTGCCCCATGTCAGCCACTGCCATCTCAAACAAAACAAAAGGTCATACAGGACAAGCTTACTGATTGTTGATTCAAAAGAGAATAAAGTGGCAGGCATCTTGTTTCATTCATTCTGCTGCTGCTCCGGTTCTTTGTCTCACCCCTTGAGCTTCATGTCGCAGTCAAAGAATGATGAATTCACTGAATGAGTCTGTGGATCCTAAAAAAACAAACAAACAGCGGAATCAGACAAGCTAAAGGGAACAGCTAAAAGGGGTTATTCAAGTTTTCTACCGCTCGTCTATTTTCAGGAGATTGTTCACTCTTTTCATCTACCCACTTATTTTCTGTGCTGACATCTATTTTCCCTGCAGAGTGACACGGGAGCACAGAGAGAACCTTGCCAAGCTGGCCAAGCAGCTCAGCAACAAGGCAAAGGACTCCCTGAGGAGAGTTCGCACCAATGCCGTCACACAGGTGAAAAAGGCAAAGGAGGGACATTCTGAGGACACCATACGGCTCCTGGAAAAACAGGTGGGCCACGAGAGAACTACAGGGTCATTCAGCAAGCTCTAAAAAGCTGCTAAACCGACAAAAAAACAAATAAGAAAGAGGCTTAAGATTAATTTCCAGATACAGAACAAAGCAGCTTTAAAAATGTGCATCAAAATGAGAAATTCAACTGAGCTCACTGTCTTTTTTTCTTTCTTTTTTTTTCAGTTAAACATTTTACAGTTAACGGGTGACCAAAAAGTGCTGAATTCTTGTCTCTTTCTGTCTTCAAAGATTCAACAGATGTCCGACAACTTTGCAGCAGACATCGACAAACAGCTTGCAGCCAAGACCAAGGAGCTGTTAGGCTGACGGCAGGCGATTCGGAAGATGACACCAGACGGGCAGCTCCGGCCGGAGGACGTGCACCGCAGCAGCACGTCTCAGTAACAGACAGGGACTGCGCCACGTCAAGCGGGTGGGTCCTGAATCTCACAACACAGGAAGACATCTCAGTCACAGACTTTTTTTTTTCTTGCCGACCTCGTCGTTGGCGTTCGCCACCACTGGGCGATACCTGCGTCCAGCACATAAACGGACACTGGCGCAACAGTGACAACGGCAGACTGCCCGTCACCCCCCTCCTGCTTTTGCTTTTTCTCGTCTTCAAACAAACACCGAGCAGAAGGGAAGAATGGACTTTTAATGGGATTTGCGGGCCTCCTCCTAATCAAACCCCTTGCCACATGGGCTGTCTGTTTATACAAAGCAAGCGCACCCGTTCGAATGTAAACTGGCTGCGGGTTTTTATCGGTGACAAGGGCGAGAGAGAGTGGGTTCCAGAGACGTAGGAGTCGGCCCAACAGATACCATGCATGCTGCCAAACATTTGTTTCACATTGATTCAGAAGTCTGTTCAAAAATGCGCGTGTGGAAAATAGAAAAAAGGTCTTTCATTTCTGTTCATGTCTAGGATTGATAACATGACTACTCTATTTTAAATACAATAAAGTCGGGAAAGGAACATTATTGATGGACCCCATTAAAGAAACACTGCTTTGAAGCATGTGCGTCATCTTGTTCTCTTTTGTTTTCTTTTCATTTTCCCCACATTTTGGTTTGAAGTCGCCCCCTCCTCCATTAGTTGGAGTGATAATGGACTTTTCCTGTACACAGACCTCTGGGCCCTGACTGCTGGCACCATGAATGTCCATTAGGAAAAGAGCCTTTTAATGGCGTGCACTTGGCCTCCTTTGTCTTTAAATAGCTGCACATTTAAAGCTGCCACTCGGAATCGCACTGAGTAGTTGTTGAAACGGATTCCATAACAAGAATTGTTTGAACGAGGATCCTGGAGTACCCAGCGTCTTTCTCTCACACACACACACACACACACACACCGCTCTGCTTTCATCTATGCGCTGTTTACACCAGCTAGAGGGTTTCCGCACCATTATGTGGTCGGTGTCATCATCTTTACCATGATTTGTTTTGCTCCTTCCGCTACTGGTCGCAGGCAGCCCACAACTCAGACAGGCTTTATTTAAAGCTTGCCCACACACTTGGTCTCAGCCATATGGTCAGTTGATGATCACCACCCTAGAACTTCACAACTACCAATTTAGTTTTTTATTAGAATGTCCTCTGACTTCTGGAAGTGACATTTAATAGTAGTGACACTGCAGATTTGACAGTGGTCACTGTGAAATCTATCGTGCGCTCCAGAATGCTTTTTTAATGCATCGCCACTGGCTCGCTGTCTCCCTCTATGACTCTGCTTTAATGGTATAAACAGAAGAGAGTCATTGGATAAACAAGAGTTTCGCAGAGGAGTAGCTGCGCTGGGACATATGAGGGTGGGGTGGAAATGGCAAGTTTTTTTTGGTGAATCGAGGTCCATATGTCAGCAATTTGAGGGCATTGTGTACCTTGGCCTAAAACAGAGGCTTCATGATCGATGGAGGGGTGAAAATCTCCCAAGTCCCTGGCGCAGAACACAGGCAAGCACAAGGAAATTGCTTTCAGCTGATAGCTTCATTTCAGTTGACATTTATCAAGTGAATTACCCCTGTTCCTTTCAAATGTTTACTACTACTACTAGCGCCGCCTCTCTGCGAACGTGCGCTCGTCTGTGTGTGTGTGTGTGTGTGTGTGTGTGTGTGTGTGTGTGAGTGAGACTGCGTTTGTCTGCAAGCGAGAAAGCTGTGCAGGGTCGTCTTTGTGGAAGTTCTGCTGTGTCCTTTGGCGATTCCCCGCAAAAATATACAAGGCTAAATTAGCTCAGTAAACGTTTGATTTGATCGCCCGGGCTTTAGTTCACTGCCGGCGCACCGAGGGAAAGATAACCAGAGTTACACACTTTAAACAGGCAAACCAAAGCAGGCCTGTGTGTAAACTGCAGATTAAGTCAAAAGCATCCAAGCCGAGAACAACCTCAGCTTTGATTGTTTTTCCTAATTCTACTGGTTGATTTTTTTTCCTTTTTTTTCAGCTCATTTTCATAATGGGGTTAAATTATCCTGTCACGTTGAGAGCTGTTTTCTGTTTTCTTAAGTTAAGATGAATTATCCATTAAAAGAAAATCATTTAGTGGGACCGAGGAGCATCGGCTCATTTTTTGTGCGGCTGGTGGGGAGGATCTATAGCTAAACGGTCTAAGCATGTTAACCAGCAGTTAGCTGAGTCATCAGAGCAGACAGTTGGTGGCAAAGGTTTTAACAAAAAGGGGAAATTTTACTACTAATAAGAGGTTTCTTGCTGTGTGTGTACGTTTGACGTGATTGGTTTGACGGGACGCCTGAATCTGCTCCAGCAGAAATCATCTGACGGTAAACCAGCCTGCTGGTGCACTGAAACAATGACATAATCAAGCTGCTCTGCGTGGGGCCGTTGTTTGCCTCACGGGGTGCTGGTGGACAGGGAAGAAGACATAAATGGGTCGAAATATTCTCTGGTTTGCCCATCCTGTCAAAACAAAAATGACAGTTGTTGTGTATGATGTCACTTTCAACCACTACAGTTTGAACTACCTCCTCCTTTCCTGTTGGACTCTGGGTAGATGATGATCATTATTATCCTTAAGAATTCTAAGACCGCACACTTTGATATGCAAAGTGCTTCAGTGCTAAGACTCATGCTGGAGCTACCTGGCTAGCATTCTGACTCTTGTATCTGTCGACACCTTTATGATATTTTGTGCAATTGCTGATCCTTCTCTTTTGTTGATAATCCTACTTAGGTTTTTTAATATGCATATGAAAATACATATACATTGTCTTGTTACCTGACACATGTTCCTATGAAATGGACAGTAAAATCAAATGTCTTCTGAGAAATGTAATAATGAACTCAAGTTTTGACTTATTCACATTATTTGACATTTTATTTTCCAGCTACACAACAAATATGGATTTGACATATTTGAACATTTTATTTAACTTCAGGAAAATACTTCTTAATCAATTGAGGTTTCATTTAAAAATTGTGTCCAACAATTATCTAAAAAGGACTATTGAAATTAGTTTTACACCAAATATGTGTAGATTTGAATTTATAGCTGCTAAATATGACTTAACACAAGCAGAAAAGAGACCGTGAACTCATTCGTAGCTGTTAACAGCTACATTTAATGTTTGAGAAATACAGGGAGGAGATGTTCTTATCAAATCCAGGAGACATAAAAGCTCTGGGCTGGATTATAATACGCATGTCAGAATCTCACCTAATACAGGATGCAATTTACCACACATCAACAGGTTTGTTGTATGGTGAGCAGCTCTGTCTAAACAGTTGAGTGTTCAGCACAAGAATGGGTTTTCCTGCCGCTCTTATGTGGCAGCACTCACAGCTCTGTAACAAATACACATGTAAAAGATTCAATAACTCTGGCAGACATACTTAAGTGCAGGTAAAATGCAAACCATTATGCACAGCCCCCAAGCAAATCTATATTCATGTTTAAAATCAGCATTTTTGAGCTCCTCTTCAGCTCAGTGCCAGTCCTCTGTCTTTATTCTGCCCCATATCTCCACTTCAGAACTGAATTATTCATGTCTTTTGAGAGAATCTTCTGGTTGTTGTGCGTGTTTGCCTGAGAGTCCTGCTTTGTACTGTATGGCCACTGTATGCGTTGAGAGCAGCTCTGTGTTTTGGAGGTGTCTGCTGCCCTCTTTTCCGCACTGCCTCTGATTATACCCCGAGCCTCCTGTTAATGCGGCCGCTACAGGGCTGAGGAGGCCGTGCAGCTGCTCGACGACCGAGCTGACCACTTCAGCCGGGAGAGAATTGGTTTGATCCCACAGACACGCACCTCTCAGCCCCCTCCTTTTCTCCTTTTCGCTCCTAAAGAGCAGCAGAGAGTGAGAAGTCGCCCTGAAGATCTCATCAAGAGTCCAATCAGTGTATGAAAGTGAAACGCTCTCACCATGCAATGTGATGATGGAGAAAAGACGTGTCGAGAGAGAGAAATCTCTGCATATGCAAATTGATCTTAAAATTGAGATATATTCGATGTTTTTAGGGTTACATCTTAACTCTGTTGGGGCTTCAGCAGCTGGCCCAAAGGAGACGGATTTGTGTAGATTAGTCTAGTAATACTTAGAGATGTAATTGTTGAGGTGTGTGGTATGAGGCCAGGATGTGCCCTCTAATCCAGGTGGACACTCCCGCCGCCTCTAACACGGAAACGGTCGACCATTTTAGGAGGAAGCGGGATATCCCAATAATCAGGTAAGCTATTAGTGGGCAGCGAAAGTATTTCCTTCCGGAGCTGTTGGCACGTCAGTCATTCACGGAATTGCTCCTGTCTGCTTTGGGAGCCATTTTAATTCAGCGGAACGTGTGCTGTGCGCCGCCACCCCCGACCCCCCATCACAGAGACGGCCACACCGGCCCCCTGGAAGGCCTCTACACAAACGAGGAGGCTCCCTAACCATCGCAGGGACCAACCAGACGTTCCAACACACACACACACGTGCGCGCACAGGTTCTCAGATCTGAACAAAGCGTTCCTCAGTCTAAAGTGGTTAAACTGTCATTTCAAATCGTCTGGACATCGTGATTACCAGCATGGGAGGAATTATATATTTAGCTTTATGTCTGTCGCCATTTCCTCCCCCCGCCCTGATCTGAAGTGACTCGCCCAGTAGTGCCCTCAATTTTACTATCTCTGAGGAGTTTAAACCTTCCCCCAAGAGACTACAGTAATCAAGAGCTGCCAGCGGGAGGGAGGGAGGTGGATGAGAGGTGTGGGATGGCTGATGCTAGAGACCTGTGGTGATGGCATAGAGAACAATGAAGTTTTCAGTCAGTCAGAAAATGAACAAAATGAGAAAGTACAACAAGATTTTTGTTTTTCGAAAATGTTTTCTTTTCTGGATGTGTTTGTCTGAAAAACAGTTTTGTCTTATCTCATTATGTATAGTATTCTTCTAATGTTTTGTTTTTAATTATTGTTCCTGTTGTTTCCTCTTTTTCTATTTTTTGTTGTGCTTGGGTTTTGTTTGAATCATTTTCCCAAATTTAAATGGGGATTTTTTTCTTCGAAAGCACGTTTTGCATAGTGTTTTACACATTCACTCTCAGCAATGCGTCACAAAAAACAGTTGACTGAATGTAGAAAATGCATTTAATAGTACACATACTGATAAATGACTCAATTGAAAGACTCTCAATGTAAAGTTAACTGAATAATTTGCAAGACAGGAACTTCCTTAGTTCTACTGGCCTTCAATATTTAGGATTAAAAAAATTTAAAACATGCTAATCGCATAAAGTGGAAGTTGCATTTAAATGTAAGAAGAGCATGCATGGACACATAAAAAGATGATTAAGTCTTTCAATTGCTCAGCCTCTTATCTAACCCAGACCCACATATTCAGCCTTAACACATAGCTGCCCGGTCCTGAGTAAAAGTAGCCACAAAGAAAGCAGATGAATGCGAGCAACGGAGTGGACAGGAAGCCTGTTAATCTGCAATCCAATCCAGCCCTGGTCTAGTGAAACCTGGCTCAGCTTGGCTGACCGAGGCCTGTGAGGAAGGAAGTGAAGGACTCAGGAAGCAGCGTTCAGAGCTTTCACCAGTCATATCCATCACACTGCGCCGCGATGGAAGCGTGTGTGCGCATATGTGTGCGTGTCCCCGTTTCACCAGTCATATCCATCACAGAGCTCTGTCTCCAGGCATGGGCAAAAGACTCAGAAGGTCATTAGAGGGGCTGGGCTGCAGTGCTGCACTTTAACTAAACATCTTTTCCATAAAATAAATGCTTCCAGGTTACCGTGGGTCCCCGGGAACCCGCATCGCCTCGCTTTTGCTGCCATTCATCTGATCCCAATTACAGGACAGACCGGGTCAATGCCAGCCGATGGTATATGGATGCATACAGACTGGAGCTGCTGGTCTCCAAAGAGTTTGTCATCTCTTTTTTGGCTGTGTGCAACTTCCCAGTTGTTCCTGCCACTGTGCAATGTGTGCACGGTTGAAAAAAAATCTGTAATTTAATGCATTAAGCAACACATCTGTCGGGGCCTCTCTGTGAGGCTTTAGAGTGTGGATCTTGGATGCATAAAGCTGCTGGCTGGTGATCAAACCTGAGGCTTATCTTAAGGAAATCTTACCATAAAACTCCCCCTTTCCCACATACACATTTAAAAAATATATTTTTCTGTGTTTCCTGGCCTTTAGAAGCTAATAAGATCCTCTCAAACATGGCATAAAACCATGGTGTAACATACTCAATATCAATTTTTCCCTAATGCTGTCACATTATCCAGTTTTCTGGGCTCAGTACCTGCATGTGATTTCATGTCATCAACTGTAGTTATGTTCTCATAATTTAGTTTCATGTCATGTCGTGTTTCACACGCATTAATATCAGTGCCTGGCATTGCGTGTAACACAATCTCCTCATGGTTGACCCTATTGTCTTTCTGTAATTTGGACTTTAATAGAGGTTTTGGTGGTGTGTGCAGGACACAAAGGCTAACACTGTGCAGGCCCTGTGCACACGCCGCTCCATATGGAGCTTGTCACACTCAAAAACGTAAAGCCAATCGTGTTGCATCAGTGTGTCGGCTCCTGGTAACTTCCAAAAACCCTGTCATCCGGTGGACTTTTAAAGCTGCATAAGAAGAGAAGAGCAAGGGTCTAACCTTTATTCTGTTTTGGAAGATGTAATACGTCACGTTTGTGTGTAAGCCAAGCAGTCATTACATTCAGTCTGGTTGTATTAAATGTTTGAGGGTAACCTGATCTTGGAAGAGGGGAAGAGTCGATCACGGTGATGTATATGTGTTTGTGCACGAGTGTGTGTGTGTTTTTGTGCAGGCGCAGTGTGCATTTACATCCATACATTATTGAATAATTGCTTCCTGATGCTTCCCTCTTCCCTGGAATATTAATTACCAATTGATGAAACTTTGTTGGTCTGAGAGGTTGACATTGAAGGAGGAAATGGGGCTTGTGCATGTAGGAGATTGAGCAGTTTGATGGGGGTTAACTTATATTCTGGGTAGATGTATGTGTGGTTTGTGGTGGGGGGGTGATGGGTATGGGCTAAAGCATCAGCTGCTTTGGGGAGTTTAGTTTCAAAGGGAAACATTTTTCTTTAAAGTCACAATATAATTTTTTTAGCGAACTGCTAGATACAGGCATCAATACATTTATAATAAATCAATAAATGTATCACATTTTGTTCAAAGTTTATCTTTGAATTGGAAGGAAAAAAACTGCTGTTTTAAAATGATATACTTGCACTTCATGTGCTGCTGCTATTTTTTGACAGGTCCATCCAATGAGATTTTCTTCCTTCTGTAACAGACATTACTACTCAGGTTCTTATAATTTAATATTCACGTAAACGAGCTTCATTGTTGACAATAAAAGTGCATTTCTTACTAACTTGAAGCTTTAAACCTCTTTACACACCATGGACTGCAATAATTAACATATTAACAGTGTTTGTATTGTGGCAGTTTTCCCAATGGCTGCATTTAGGCTCAAAATTAAACTAAAGTTGATTGATTTGTTATCGGAGGACATAAAAACCTGAAAAGGATGATGGCACCATCTAGTGGAAGAATTATGTGCGCAGGGCTCAAACCTGCAAAATGGTTTAGCGCCTGAGCAGGGTTTTTTTACATGATAAAAGGGATGCCTTTGAGTTTCTCATTCAACGAGTTGGTGAAGGAAAAGAAGGTGTTCTAAAATTAGAGACTGGAGTGAAAAGTCCCACCCCACGTATTGTGTATGTTTTATAGAGCCAGAACTGAATTCTTGGGTTTCAATAGCATTTTCTGTGTTTGGGTTCATTCTTGTCTTCTTTACAGTTGTTTGAGTTTTTATTTCCTTGTCTTTGGAGTCATTTCTATGGTAAAACTGTTCCTCAGATAATTGTTTCACTCTCCATTCCCCTGTTTAACTTTTCATCTGCACTGCACGCCG